GATTAAATGCCCATATTATTTTTGTTCTATCATTTAACTACGTTGGAGATAATTAATTAATTACAGTTTTATGTATCCACTAATAGCATTTTCGAGGAACAATCAATTGAATTATCATTACGATAAAATACAATGGGAATTGCCATAAAAGTACAAATTCGAAATGCAAAAAATGCATTTTTTTTTATCCTAAATTATATTTACACGTAATTCCTACGAGCAATACATTTTATAGAAGTTTTATAGAACGTACCCGACATAAGCCGATGAGATAGGCTTTATGCTTCAGATACGCATAGTAAACTAGTTATAAACTTATTATAAGACTACTAAGACGTACCTAGGTTTATTTTTCATATACCCAGTTAGCGTCGCACCACGACACTCTACACTCCCCCAGGAGCGGAATCAATTTACTGAGCAAATTGAACGTCAAAGGCTTGTAAATTTACTGTATACTTTACATGTCAATAAATTTAATAAATCCAAGAGATCTTGGTTCAACGCACGGTCGTCGCACCACGGTGTACCGTTTGAGACCGTGTTATATGACCAAATAGAAAAACACTATGCTAGTAGGAACTCACTTCGCAAAACTTACTACTTTATTTAGCTGGGTTATACCAGTGACGTCAGGCATAACCAAGAACCGGTTACAGGTGCTCCCTAATAGCAGACTCAATGACCTCTTCCCCAAAATTTTGTATATAGTAAACAAATCTTTGACATATACGCAACTATAGAAACTCTGGTTTTGTATGAGCAAGTATCGAAAACAAAAGCTTGTGAAAGTTTTAAGTCTAACATTTCAAAGTACAAATCTAAAAACTATGATATACAATTTTAAGAAAACCATAGACAATCTTAATATGTCTTAAAAAATTAAATAGTGCACGAAATTATTATTTCGCCGGCATCGAACCCATATTCAGTCAGTCTTAGGGCATTTTCAGGCCTTGTTCAATCCTAGTTTACATTTAACAATTCCCATGTATGCAGAGCACTTAAAACCACATTCTTATGGGAAGATCAAATTAACCTGAGCCAGTTTTAAGAGCGGATGGGTAACCGGTTGGTACACCTATGATTCAATATTCTTTCTGATTGAAAGCACCAGAAATTTCTTAAAATAATTTGCGTTAAAGAATTTTAATTTAAAACAATTAGGCTTATTTGTGGAAGAGACGACGAGACGGGAGAAGACTACTAGCTGTGCGTGTTTTATTGATATTTTTAAGATGGTCATTTTTTCGATAGGAATCGCTGTCGTTAGTTTCTCTTAGAATCCCTCCACCGTATGCGACAAGGTACACACACTTACTTATGTTTTCTGTTTAATATATTGTTTATCTATGTAATCTGTTTTGGCTTTCTATATTGTGTAAGTGTTTTGCTTTATAATATGTATGTTAGCTGTTAGATTACTAATAAATAAATAAATCTTATCCAGGTCCTCTGGGTTATACGTTATGTGCGCCACTTAACAGCTATCTTCTTAGTTTCTACAATGTAGTTCACGTTGCTAATTAAAATCATCTTAAAAAATGAGAGTTTGTTCCAGAACATAGTCATGTTTTGTCATACCAGTTTCGTTTAATATTTAACATTTATTTAAAGACGTCGTTTGAATTAATTTGAAATTACCACTCAACCTGTTATCCTATATATAATAATACCTACAAATTGAATTGTATACCATTATAATAAAATTTAATTTTGATAGTGATACTGCGCGTGTTATTTTTTTTACGATCAAAGTCGGGATGATAAGATATGGTGATCGGTAGATATCGGGTAATTTATCTAACAGCAACATAGAAATGAATAATAATATAGAATATAATATGTGTTTCTACTACGACAATAGTCCTGTCCTATATATCATAAATATTCCTTTTAAATATTCACCTGACTTTCAGGAATTTGCCGTTCCATTTGTAACTTAAAGTTTGAAACTGTACAATTGAGTTAAATTACATACCAACCACTATGCTTTGTATACCTAATTACAGTTTTCCTGTCACAATAACTTTGAACCAAGTTTACCACTGTAGTTTTTAAATGTGGGTAGGGCACGGGAACCGTTTTCTATAGTAGAAAGTATGTTACAATATGAATGTACATACTGAATGTTGATAAACAATTTATAACACTCACAATCGTTGAGTAATAAAACCAACAACTTATAAGCGAATTATCTACTTGCTATGCAAAAGTAAAGTGTATTTCGTAACAAATAACAATATATACCCGGTTATTGTATAAATAATCGGCACTATATTTTATTAGTATATTTGAAACTGCTTGTTATAAAAGAGTAATAAGGTCTAGTTTTACTAGTAGTAGTCGCTTTCTCAGCAGCATCTCACGTGTTACCATCTTAGATAAGAAGGTCGTACTCACCGGGTCGATGTCCGTGTCCCAGACATCCTTTAGGTCGTTGGAGATATCGAAGTAGCAACTCTCCATGTCGGGGCCAGGTTTCAAGCGGCCGACTTGCACTTCACAAACTTCCACAAGCAGTTCAGTCGCTCGAGGGAAACTCAGAAAGTAATAAACTTCACTGTATCACTTGTTTACGTTTCACTGTTGGCCATTTGTTGCTTGTTTGTGAGAATAATTTTCACTTATCGCGAGCGTATGTTTGAGTGGCGCAGACACGTTATCTCGACCGCGGTTGACGAGCGAATGGGCTGCGGGCGCGGCTCCCCGCGTTCATTCATAACGGGGGTAAAAACTATATAACGTAGGACTCGGGGATGCCCGATTGTGTGAAAATATTTGCTTTAACCTGTTGATTCATAAGCATTCATTTTTGTATTTGATGCTTAAGGAGTTAATTATTTGAAAAGTAGGTCTTTCGTTTTACCTTTCTGCAACTAAGTTTTTATCTACTAAAGGAATATTTTACCAATTACTTAGTGTATATGTTACTGTAAAAGCTCGAACTGCAGTAAATCCTAAGATATTCCAGTAAAACCTAAGATCTACCAATTCCTAATGGTAAATGTCCCAAAAGGTTTGCGATTCGAACTCTTACCACTATTCCGTTGGTAAATCTTAGGATTTACATTAATGGCACGGTAAATGTTGAAAACCAAAAATAATTATTGAGTTAGACTAGCTTATGTAAGCATTATGTTTGTATTTCGTTGTTAAATTCCAAATAGAGAACTACTGATTCAGTTTGATAGATATGATAGAGATTGAGATATTCAGAGACATACGTTATGTGTTTTTTCAAAATAATTTAAAATAAGTTGGTATTAGTTTGTACTTATTACTATAATATGATACCTTTATAATACTATGTACCTGTTTTGTCTAATAGTACATTAAAGTAAATAATTAAGAATGACTCATTGTTTTATTCCTAAAACCAACATCTGCCAGGTGACAGTGGTAAAACCTAGCATATACTGAATTCGAATGGTAGAAGCTCGAAAAAATCGTCGTATTTTCAGAAATACTTACATTTACCAACTCATGTCGGTAAATCCTAAGACTTACACTTAAATCTTAAGATAAACCGTAGTTCGAACTTTTACAGTAACATACACATACAGTAGTTTTGAAACGTAAGTGAAGAAAAATAAATTCTGATTCAATAATTTAAAAAAATTAACAAGTTACAGCGTCCCTGATTTATGCTTTTTTTCAAATACTTTTTAAGTTTCCATATAATGAACACTTTATTAACATCCAAATATAATGTTTTTTGAACTATGAGTGGATAAAAGAAAAAACAATGAAATGGGAATGTTTTATTACTAAATTACAATATATATGTCTATACAAACATGATTAAGGTATGTTTTATTAAAAATTGCACTTATCGATATATTTATCGTAAATATAATACAAATTATTTTCAATAATAAACCCTAAATATGATTTACAGTCCGTGGTTATTTTATATGATAATTAATGATTAAATATTATCAATTACGTGAATACAAAATCATTATAGGTAACTAAATACACACAAAAAAAGACGTTTAATATCACAATTTAATGATGACTATACATGTTCTATTTTTATCTAAAACAACAACAGCTAAACTATATTTCAGCATATTTGTAAGAGAATATTCATATATGTATAAAAATAATTCGAGTTAAAATAAATTAGTGTTTTATCTAACAGCGACTCCATACAGGCTTTACTTGGCACGAGCCACACATCAAAACGGATATGAGACCAGTCCCTAGACACTATGAACTTGACATGTTCATTCGCGCACTCGTAAGACTCAAGTAGTCGTTGTTAAAATTCAATGTGTTATGCGATGGTCATAACTATAAACTAACGTTAAGTATTGACTCAGAATCTTCCCCTAGAGGTACATAGATTCCGCCCACGTGAACTCGCCGTTACCAGAACTGATAGTATAACAAATTGTTTACAAGTAGCTTATATATCCTTGTAAAGGTATGTATTTTCAAGCAACATCCGCGTACCTTTCCTTCAAAGGCCGCCAGTAAAGTGGTTGATATGCCCCTTTCCCATAAAAAATATCTTGATTTATAGATTGTCTTGTGCTATATAAAAGGTCTTACATGATATTTATTCAAATAAGAAATATTTAAGTATTTCTGGTACATTTTAATTTCGTGATGAAAGCGATGGATTTCCCCCAAATTTATGATTTACTTCTAGACATATTTAGGTAATCAAGATTTCCAGAGGTTTTTTAGGGCAACATTTATTTATTTATTTAGGGGGTAGACCTACTTTATTCAAGAAATGTTATTTTTTTATAAACGCACGAAACCAAGTCCACAAACAAGGTATTTGAAGTTGGTCCTAGGGGAAACAGTCTCAGTTGGCATCACTGGTTGCGGCCAGTACGGGTGAGATCGTTGCCGCGTGTGGACGCATTGAAAAGAAAATATCGATTTCCAGCTAAGTAGAAGCAGTAACTTTAACACACTATATATTCACGAGTGTCTGTGGAAGCGCTGTTAGATAAAAATCGGCCATAGAGCCATTATAAAATCTATTTATGACCATTCCGTTTAGGCGGCACAGTGAACAGCGAGGGTACGTGCGATTGTAAAGCCGATACGCCACCATGAAGAATGCACACCCTGGGGACTTTGCATTTCACCAAGTATTCGCTGAACTGTAATAATAACATTCTTCAAAGTTTTCGAAAACACCAAATAATATGAAAACAACATCCCCGACGTAATGAAAATAGATTGTCTCATAGACGACCGGTATTGATGAATCTAGCCAATGTGAATTTTTCAAGCATACAGTTGCTAATACGATGTCAAAAATTATGTAATTTAAACAGGCAGACGCATCTCTGTGTTTCTCGTTGATATTTTCTTATTGGCAAATATTTTCTGGCTTTTGTATTGTAATCGAATCGAGGACCACCATATAACGCCATAAGTCAACGGCTAACTTAGTTAAAGGCGGATAAAAATGTCCGTTAAAACAATATACTCTTTTCGAGCTAGAAATTTATTTGTTAACAAAAATTCGTTATAAAATTATGATTATCTAAAGGATCTTACCAATTGAGCAGTCTCATCCTCAGCTGAGGCAACGATGACAGTTTTCTTCTGAGCTATGACATTAGTAAGCACTTTGGACGGATGCAAGCCTAGTGCTCTAAGCTCATGCTGCCCCAAGTGAACTCCACTGTAGGGCACGTTGATACTGCCTTCTATGCAACTCTTCTCGTAACTATAATTTTTTTAATATATATTACAAGCGGATCCGAAAGTGGTGCCTGCGTGATATTTCAAGCGATTAGGATATTAAACAAAGTATGAAAGTACCGACTGCAGCGCCATCTGCCGGGCTGATTTGTAAAATCTAAACCATCCATGGCTCCACCCAACGCATACAAAAAATTTCATTCAAATCTGTCCAGCCGTTTAAGAGGAGTTCAGTGACATACACTGAACTCTCGCTTAAACTCGAGAATGTCTGGACCGAAGGCTAATTTTGATCTTGAAATATTTATGAAAGACAAGGAAGGTTTAATCGGTGAGAAACATGTAATATATAATAAAATAACATAAATAATTTAATTTTTCAATAATTAGTTTCTAGCTTCGAAAGATTTGATGTTTTTTTTAAAGTCAAAAACTCGTTCAGAAATTTGTCTGTTTCATAGACATTGTACAGAAATATATGTAGGTAGGTGATACGAAATTCACCGGGTCATTTAGTATGCAATAAATCCCAATTTCCACTATCGAATTACAACTACTGTATCGATTTCGCAAATTTTTTCACCAATAAATGAGACAAACAAGTGTATCATAAAGAACGCCAAGCCGAAGACGGCATGGCACGTATTTTTAAAATGATTGCCATTCAAAACCTACATGAATAATATGCATCCTGTGATATTCTTACTAATACTATGACAACAAATCATATATGATATGAAAGTAGATATAAATATGAGAGCAAATAGAACAGGAGAATGCGGATGGACTCATTAAAAAATACAATTATTTGAATATTTACTTACAGTAAATTCGATCTTATATCCACTACGCAGCATTTCTCCTGACAGGTGAGCGAGAAGAAATCCGTCAGACTGATTCGTGGGCAAATTTCGGCCAACAATACCTCCATGGGTACTTCTACAACGTCCTAGAATTAAAAATTACCTTTGGAAAATCATTAAAGTTGACGATTTCAAACATCACTATCTTAATATATATAAATTACGTGTCACGTTGTTTGTCCGCTATAAACTCCTAAACTACCGAACCGATATCAATCAAATTTGCACACCGTGTGTAGTTTGATCCAACTTAAAAGATAGCTTACATCTCAATTCATACCCGCATTATTATTTTATTGCAAAATATTTGTTTATAATTTGATAGTCACAATTCTAACAGATGGCGCTGTGTTTAAGTTACCAACGTTTCAGATAAGCTACAATTTAATGTCATAACCACAAAAAAGCATGGTGGTCCCCATGACTGGTGTTCTCCTTTCCTTGAATAGTTTGCTACTATGTAACATAGCAAAAACCTTAGCCACAGCAACTCTTGGCCGGTCTGCTAGTTAATAATATAGTTCTAGTGAGATCACGGGCCATTTTATTGGAGCCCCTGATAACCAACTTATCTCTAATGTAGGTAAGTCTTATTCAGACTGGTTTCCATTGGAAAGTATTTTTTTTTATGTTGTTATTTTTTTGTGTCACGAAGTTTGTTTCATTTTTAGTTTAGTTACTTAATCTAGCACACTTAACCTAATTAGGTATGAAGTACTTCTTACAAAAGATTTCTAACAAAAATACAATCGAAAGAAACGGAACGCCTAGTAGTAAAATATCATATTGCTATAGCAACCAATACTATTTTAACAGTAAATGACATGGCTATTAAAAGTAATTGGTAATTAAATTATGCATTCACTCTGTCATCTAATGACATTCCATATTGATTATAAAACACGTCAACAACAATAAAATATATTAACAGATGATATTATTAAACTGGTTTCCTCGTAGTCCTGTAAAGTTCAATGCCGTAATAAAGATTATTATAAATTAAGTCTGAACCACAGATATGGAGTCGAAACTTAGTGCAAAGTGTGACTCCCGTAAGGGAGCGTTCAAGTACATATTACGTATCGAATTGGGGGGGGGGGGACTTTTAAGCACCCAAACACTCCTTTTAACATATTATTGAGTCAAATTTATTCTTGAGACATATTATATACACATTATTTAATACAGCAATTCTGTTATATGCGACGATATAAGTATGGATAGGCAAGTCATTTTAGGTCATGCTAAACACGTAAACTTTTTTGCGCATTGTACTAAATATATTAATAAAAATAATATATATATATATATATAATAAATATTAATAAGATTTAGAGAACAAAAATAATTTTTTTTTTATATGCATGAATTTTATCAGTATTTGGCCTTGCCATTTTAGTGCAACATTTTATTGCTTGCATAGAACATACAATCTTGATTAATGCAAATATCGAAATTAAAAATATAATTTATAATTTTATAGCGATCAGGTGTTTTATTGATACAGAATACAGGAAGTATATATAATACTACAAAATAATTATGTATTACAATTATTTCTATTATCGTCTAAAATACTAATATATCTAAATTTATTTAATATTATCTAATTATCTAAAAATAGTTTTGTTCGAAAGATTGAAATGGTAAACATTTTGGGGCAAATGCTAAATAACAAACAAAATTATGTTTAATTAGTCATGATGTTTGCATTATTTAGTATTTGCCAAACAGTTTTTTTATATAACAGGGGGCAAACGGATAGGAGGCCCATTGAATAAACTTTATTAATTTCGCTTTCTTGTCTAATATATAGAATTCTCGTGTCACAATGTTCGCTTCCATACCGAAACGGCTCGACCTATTCTTATGAAATTTTATATTCATATTCAGTAAGTCTGAGAATCGGCTACAATCTATGTTTCAAACCCCTAAGTGATGAGGGGTGTCCACGCCAAAAAAATTTTTTATTTAAAAAAAAATTGTTTTTTATTTTTTTATGATACAGCATACAAAAATACATACAACCCCTAATTTTCACCTCTCTACGATCAACCCCTATTTTTTATTATTGTAAATAGTTATTTTTATTGAACTAAATAAATATTTCCTAGAAATAATATACATGGCAAGACAAACGTTTGCCGGGTCCGCTAGTTTTATATAAATTTTACATTGTTATTCGTAAAATTTGTCAATATAGCAATTACCCACTTACCATAGGATCCTTGATTTCTGGTTCGTTAGTGAATCTTCTATAGCTAATACTGCGTGGTGTGTTTCGACTCATTTCGATTGACGCCTAAAAAATTGTATTACTGTATATGAAAAATGTAAACTCATTTATAACATATATTTACTAAAAACATACCCAAAATTAAGTAAAGAGTGGTTGATATAAACGCAATACGTAACATTTTTTTATCGTGATTTTTTTCAAGGCCTTTAATAAATAATGCTAATTCAAAATCCGATTTTTTTTGAAGAAGATTTTCTATTAGGAATAAATAAAAAAATATGACGCTTTGCAATTGGTTAGATCTTTCTTATCCCTTTTTGATAAGAAAATCAAATCAAAATCTTCTTCAAAAAAAAATCGGAATTTGAATTAGCATTATTTATTAAAGGCCCATAGCCCACTTGAAAAAAACACGATAAAAAAATGTTACGTATTGCGTTCATATCAACTTCACTCTTTACTTAATTTTGGGTATCTTTTTGGTATACAAGTAGTTTCATAGTAACATGACTTGAAACATGAACATCATTTTTTTTTCGTATTTGCGTTCATACCTACTAGAGGTATGATTAACGCGAATATTAATTCTACGTGAAATGCCCCTAATGTTAAATGGAAATTTATAAAGCATAAACAGTGTGTCACAAATCGTATCTTAATTAAAAAGCCATTCAGAATTATTTTACCCTTATCAAATTTGCATACAATAACCCATTAAACGATGCATTGAAAAGAAATGTGTTAGAAGATATCTCCAATAAGAATAATACGCTAGTTGCGCGATAGCATTTCTAATAACGTATTATTCACGTTTCAGACCTGATTCCCAAATTCGGGATTATTTTACAGTAGGTAGTAGTCACTGGGTTCACCTACAAGGTTTTCTATTTACAATCGAACCCGGTGCACAAGGGATGGAGTACTCTTTCCTTTTTTTTTTTTTTTTAGAACGGGAGGCAAACGGGCAGGAGGCTCACCTGATGTTAAGTGATACCGCCGCCCATGGACACTCTCAATGCCAGAGGGCTCGCGAGTGCGTTGCCGGCCTTTTAAGAATTGGTACGCTCTTTTCTTGAAGGACCCTAAGTCGAATTGGTTCGGAAATACTTAAGTGGGCAGCTGATTCCACATAGTGGTGGTGCGCGGCAAAAACTGCCTTGAAAAACGCTCAGTTGTGGAACGGCGGACGTCGAGGTGATACGGGTGGAATAAGGAATTTCGTATTCTGTCTCGACGTCCGATGATGAAACTCAGCTGCAGGTATTAATCCGAACAACTCCTCTGAACACTCTCCATGGTAAAATTCCTTGTGTGGAATATATTTTCACAAAGGAAAAGTAGCGTGAGACGTCCATGAGACGACATTTACGATATTCCGTACGCAGTGCCCAGTGCCAGTAGAGAATAAGGGACTCTAGGAGTGGACTCTTTATAAATGGTAAGGTTTATATTACCACGCGAACAAAGTTTAAACCTAGTTCTATCTATAATGGCCTCTTACCGTCGCACATAATCATTACGATTCAAATTACGTTTAACAAATGCAAATACAAGTTTACGAGGCGATAACTGAATAACTAGACTGCGAATTGGTTCATTGACTTCTAATTCATGGAGGTTGTTGACTGATCTGACCATAGTGTGATGACCTAATGTTGTGCCAGTAATAAATTTGCGCAACAAAAACTTACGCTCGTAAAATAATTATAGAAAACGTATCTCTATGGTATTTACATGGATCGTGGAAATCAAATAGAATATGGCATAAAAAGGTAACTGACGAAGTAAAAGAATATTTAAATGTACTCTCTATAGGGAACATATAGCTATGAGACTCGCATTTCTGAAATAGAAAAATAATCAAAAAGAAAATAGTGAACAGTTGTTGTTGGTGTTGGGACGTAAAATTTCGACCTTTGAAGAAAAATTAAAGTATTATTCGATTATTCAATTTCCATAAGTTTAATTGATTGATGTTTAAGTAAAAATCAATAAAAAATTAATATTTATTTTTGTTCCAATCCAAAGGCAAATTACAAATCAGGGTCTTATTCATATTCAGTAAGTCTGATAATCGGTTACTATCTTTCAAACCCCTAAGTGATAAGGGATTTACAGCACAAATCTTTTTTGTATTTTTTAGAATATTTTTTTGTTTTCATTTTTTTATGATACAGCATACAAAAATACATACAACCTCTAATTTTAACCCCACTACGGTCAACCCCTATTTTTATTAATGTAGCTATCTATAGTAAAAATAACTATTTATTTTTAGTGAAATAAAAAAAAGTTTATTGGAAATAATATACTAGTACTTACATATATACAGCTAGTATTTACATATATTTATAATATCTATTTGACACAAAAGTATTTTCCACTATCGAATTAGTACTTTGTCGGTCTTTGAAACGTTAACTTATCACGATATTTGATAAACATTTTAATTGCGTTTCAAACTACCAGTATATCCATGATAAAGGTTTAAAACGAACTTGTAAACTGATATTAATAATTAGGACTTAAAAAATTCCTCGCGATTCTAACGGATTAAACGGTGCTTATCCGGAGCTGGATATATTCGGTAGTGGGTTGATCGGTTTTAGAAAATCATTGTTGGGTGCCTATCTCGAACCTAATTCGCTGTTTTGCTGATGTTTTTTTTTCTGCTTAACCAAAAATTTCTGGTAACTTTATTGTATGCTTATTTTGTCTTGTATATATTTTAATTGTATTTTTTAATATATATTTTTTGTGACACTTATGTTTACTTCAATTGTCATACATTTTAGATGAAAGATTTCGTAAAATATGCCGTAGATTTAGTACTATGTATGTAAACATAGTACTAAACTTTAATAAATAAATATACTCTCCGAATCAAGGAATTCTTTTTCATATCAGTACTGTATTTTTGGAGCCTATTCAATACAATTTACATATTTTTTTTATAACTAAACACTCTTTCGAATTTGTTAACGCTATGAAAAAAAAAAGATTTCATTATGAAAAAGCAAAACCAACCTTAACACACTCCCCAATATCTATCTCAGGAAGATCCGAGAAAAGCAAAATGCATTCATTAAATCCCGAATCGAGAAGAGTGTCCCTCAATTGGCGTAATATCCCAAGACCCATGAATAGTGGGAGTTGTGGCCCTTCCACTAACAAAGCGTCCCATAGGTGCACGATCTTGTGAAGGGGAAAAACGTCTGTGGGAATGTTAAGATTGGAATGTTAAGAAAATTACTCTGCAACACACAAACAGTGACGGAGTATTTATTGCCAGTTCTCGTCCGTGTACGTCATACATTTGAAAGAATTTAGAAGTATTTTATTAAGCTAAGATATGCACTAAGATATGTTACTAAAATATGATTTATTTAGAATATATTTTATTATATTCTAAATAAATCATATTTTGATTACAATTGAACAAGGTCTACAGATTCCAAGTCAAGTCAATTTATTCATTTAGGTAAGACAATGTACACTTATGAACGTCAATAAAGAAATACATATCAAATACTAAATGTTTCATTTCATTTGTTTTACAGTTCTCAAATCAAGGGCGTAGAACGGAAGAGAAGAACTGGCAATAAACTCTCCGCCACTCTTTTTAATCGCCAAGTTTTTTGTTTTACACAATGTTTGTAAGGAACTGCAACCATTACATCATGTTCCACATGACATAGTAAGTAATTAATAAAAAATTAAAAACAAAGATTTGTCCTCTATCAGCAGTAGGCACGCATATTCTCGTGGGAACAACACGCAAATATATAGTCGAAATAACTAACATCACCGCATACGCATTCAAGTACGATCAGTCACCACAAGTAGCACCTGTTCACGAGAATGACGCATGGCCAGCCATCGGCCCTCCGTCATATTTTAGGGAGAGAGACAACCCGACGCATGGACGCCAAGAAAGACTGAGGCGGAAGTTGCAAATTTTTATAGAAAAAGGGGCGAACGGACAGGAGATTCGCCTGATGTTACGTGATACCTGCCCATGGACTCTCTTAATGCAAAAGTCTCGAAACTACACATGCATACACTGTTTTTAGTGATCTACCAATGAACGTGCCTTCAATATAAACCAACACTGCTGAACCAAACCAAATTAACCCATAATATATATAATAAACCCATTAATTTATTAAACTATTGAAGTTATACTTCTTTTGGCGCGATGGAGAAAAATGATGAGAGTGAATTTTTACGATGCGCGCGCACACCGACACCTAAATTCTACATCGTAAAGTTAGCTCTAGGTGGCATGAAAATCGATAATAACTATGTTCAAGTTGTATATTCTAGTATTTTTGTATTTAGAACAAGTGTTTCGTAACAGTACAATTAAACAGTTAGTCCAAGATCCCAGGGCCGCCAGACGTCACGTATATTCTGACGGATGAAATGTGGACGATTGAGTAGTGTTAGTATGTAATATGATCGTATGCCTACCTGCTAGCTTGGTCAAACGGCCAATTTCCAGGTATCAGGTAATCAAGGTACACAAAAACATTACTTACTTCACGTAAATTCTCATGGCTGATTTTTATATATGTTTTCGAGTGTATAGTTAAAAATAAATTTTCAATACTCCCAGACACTTTCCGTCGGCCATATTGCTTGACAGACGCTTTAAGGGTCTCAAAATAATTAGTCAACTTCACGTAAATTCTGACGCTCCATTTTTATATATGTTCATCCGACAACTATTTTAAAAGCTTTGACAAGAAGACAGACCGATCCAAGGGGCCAATCATCCCCTAAACTAAATTTTAATATCTCTGTGAGTGGGAGCGCGAGAGCATTATCTACGCGCATGAGACTGAGTGAGACCGACTGCGCTGTTAAAGCCATGAAAATTACTTGAACAGATATTTTATAATTTTTAGAACTTTTGTTGACAAGTAAATTATAGCAACAAAAATAAGAAAAAAAATTGACATATAATAAATAATACTAAAGTTAGCCGACATTTTTAATTTTTTCTTTTTGGTCAACAGCTAAAGTCACTCACAAAAAAAGTATTCAGTGTTCTGCCGTGTCTGTTGAGTGCAGCTGTGACTATAGTAGCAACGTGTGTAAAAAAAAATAAAAATATTTGCAGTGTTTTGAAAGATATAATGGCTTCTCTAGTAAATTGTGTTTTTTGTAAAGATTCTGATGTTAATTTAATATTGTTCACGCAAGAGACATTAAAAAGTGTCAAGTAATTTTAAAACATAGAAAAGAACATAACCTTAAGTTTAAAGACGTTGTTTTGCCAGGTGATTTATTGGAAAGTGGTTATCACAGACAATGTTATAAATCATTTACAGGGTTAAATAAAAAATACTTTTTACCAAAAAGTAAATCAATCAATTAAAATTAAAAATGTCGGCTAACTTTAGTATTATTTATTATATGTTAATATTTTTTCTTATTTTTGTTGCTATAATTTACTTGTCAACAAAAGTTCTAAAAATTATAAAATATCTGTTCAAGTAATTTTCATGGCTTTAACAGCGCAGTCGGTCTCACTCAGTCTCATGCGCGTAGATAATGCTCTCGCGCTCCCACTAAGAGATATTAAAATTTAGTTTAGGAGATGATTGGCCTCTTGGATCGGTCTGTCTTCTTGTCAAAGCTTTTAAAATAGTTGTCGGATGAACATATATAAAAATGGAGCGTCAGAATTTACGTGAAGTTGACTAATTATTTTGAGACCCTTAAAGCGTCTGTCAAGCAATATGGCCGACGGAAAGTGTCTGGGAGTATTGAAAATTTATTTTTAACTATACACTCGAAAACATATATAAAAATCAGCCATGAGAATTTACGTGAAGTAAGTAATGTTTTTGTGTACCTTGATTACCTGATACCTGGAAATTGGCCGTTTGACCAAGCTAGCAGGTAGGCATACGATCATAGTACATACTAACACTACTCAATCGTCCACATTTCATCCGTCAGAATATACGTGACGTCTGGCGGCCCTGGGATCTTGGACTAAGTGTGAATAAATAAATATTATTTTGGTGTTTTTATTAAATCAATTTCATATGCGACGGTGATAGTATTTATTATTTATTAGTATATCTATATATATTTAATATTAGTGATAAAACTGATTTGAATAAACTGTTTTGAGAGCATTTACAGATTTGAGGTTAATTGTCGGTATGTATAATTTTTAATTATTATTTAAATAAAATCTTTTTGATTAATTTTAATATTTATCGTTGATCACTACTGCATTTTAGTTATTTTTTCCATACGCCAAAGAAGTATAACTTCTAACGCGTGTACATAAGTACATACACTCTTTTTTAAATAACAGTTGTAGAAATTGTTATATACTTACGTGAAAACATAGTTAAGAACCACGGAATAGCGAAAAGCTCTGGCACAAAGTTAATATCGTGTAAATGCGCCGCCAATTCTGGTTCATGAAACGTCGTAATTTGCCAAAATTTCGCTAAATATTCCTTGATAACAGCACTATTGTCCTTCAAGAAGAATTTGTGTAAAAACTTGGGAACAAATGCCGACAGACAGGCGAACGCACGGGCTGGAAGATGTTTTTTTTTTAATTTTGGTTATTTTGTATAGTTATTTATTATAGACTAAAAATTTGCTCGAGTACTGTTATAGGTACAGTATTTCTTGGTACGCATATTCTGCTACAATGTCGTGTTAAAGCATTGTTATTAATAAATAATTTTAATAATAATGCTTTAACCTCAAATTTCTAGACTACGTTTTCTTTTTATTTAATTTCTATTCATTGATTTAAAAAATAAGGTAATGAATTTTACTAATAAGTTTTAAGTCATTTAAAACACAGGTACACTACAAACGCAAAATCAAATTACTTTATTCATAAATAACTAGATTTTGACTTAAGGCTTTGGGCATTTTTATATAATCATTAAATAAAAAAAAACTGAAAATTGTCTCTGACCAAGACAAAGACAAATTATGTAAAATTTTAAATTATTATTAAACTTTTATAAATATATTTTTTATTCAAATAAATTCGCGTAAATTTCCGTTATCGTTTATTTCAATTGTTTTAACCATTACCTTCATTGCAAAAGTTCAAGTATAAGAATGGTGCGGTCAGTGAATCTAATCCTTGCCAATAAACATATTGCGGGTTGGTTAACAACCAGGCTTTTAACAAACGCTTTAAGGTTCTATGCCCGGCGCGACCACATAACAACCAGCAGTATTGGTGACAGCGGGGAATGTCCACATCAATCTGTATAAAAATATCAATAATAAATAAAACAGCCGCATTTCTAGATAATCAACATATTTTCCTACTTAAGGCCTTTCATTCCCATTCTTCTCCACACGAAACTACCTTTTGGAAGGGGCAGCTAGAATCTTCTTTGTATTTTGTTTGACGATCAAAAGTGCCATTTTAGGTGGTCTAATTGAAATAAATGATTTGACTTTTTTGACTTATTTACATCACCATAACAATATAAAGGAAAAACATAAAATTAAATAAATGAAGACAAAGGATGTAAATGGGCGGTCTTACTGATAAAAGCAGTTTCATCCAGACAACCCAAACATAAATAATATAAACATTAACAACTCCGAACAAGAACCAAGTTAACGTGCAAAATTCTACATAAACTTTTTAGTGCTATTATTATTTATTAAGGGAGCGTTCAAGTATTACGTAACGAATTTTGGGGGGGGGTCCTTTTGTAAAATGTTACTATGCGGGGCGGGGATTGAATTACGCGTTATTGTTAATATTATTTTCGACTTTCCAGTACTTTACACCACATAATGGTAACTTTTAGGTATAGTCACTGGGTGGTCACGAAACGTTTTATTATTGGGTACAGAAAAACGTTACGGCGCGTTGCATGGGGGGGGTCAATAATCTCCAAATAATTATACCTGTCTGTCAGTCGGCGTAGGTGTCTCCTTATCAATCCTTTCATACTGATCTTCAATATCTCCAAAAACGCCCAATAACGCGGCCCATACATCGCCCCGGACCAATGGAGGTATGTCGACTTCAGCTTGGGCCCTTATATATTGAGATGTGTATGGGTAACCCTAAGTAAATAATTTATAGAGAGAGAATTTTGTATTAATCTTCAAAGGATATTGTTTAAGTTTAAAGATAATATGGTATGGAAAGGCACTATAGACAAATTAATTTTTAAGATTAGTTCTAGTAGTAATATATTAAATATAGGAGGAATATTTCACACTAGCACACAGTTAGAGACCAGCATGAATATAATTGAATTTTAAAAAGAACATTTTGAACAAAAAATAATACACCTTGGTGGGTACAAATATTAAACTTACAATCAAACCAAATCCAGTAAAACTCTTACAAATTAAAAAAAACCATAAATGTTAGCATGATTCAATATATCTTAATATATATAAATTACGCGTCACGTTGTTTGTCCGCTATGGACTCCGAAAGTACCTTACCGATTTCAATCAAATTTGCTTACCGTGTGCAGTTTAATCTAACTTACAAGATAGGTTAGCTTAAATCTTAATTTATATCCGCAATATTATTTTATTGTAAATTATTTGACAGCCACAATTCTAACAGATGGCGCTGTTGAATGTACCAACGTTTCACATAAGCTACAATTTAATGGCATAACCACTAAAAAAGTATGGCGGTTCCCATGACTGGTGTTCTCCTACTGTTTCCCTTAAATAGTTTACTAATATGTAATATAACAAAAACCTTAGCCACAGCAACGCTTGGCCGAGTCTGCTAGTTATATATTATTGTATGTAACCCATATGTCTCAATCATAAACTAAATAAGTCAAATACTTACATGAAGAAGCCTTTGAAACCAAAGTAGTCTATAAAACTGATATTCAGTATCTCTCTCCCGAATAATCTTTGGTAATGATACAGTGTCACACTCTTTACGTTTCTCATGCATAAGAGGGTAGAAATCATGAGGTGATATATGTGCTAAGCGATTTTTTAATATTTGTAAACTATATTTGGCTATCCGTCTGTCAAATAGAGCATTCTTTTTGCCACCTATGGTGCAGCCGTCTAGAAGTATTGCACTGAAAACAGTATTTTTTAGTTGAAGTTTAAGAAAACTTATTCATAAACCAAAAACAAATAACCCTTTGGATATAAGGTAATTTGGTTTTCACACGATTTTTTCCTTTACTGTACGAGGGAGTATTAAATGCATACATAGAAAGAGAAGTCCATTAGTGCACAGCCGAGATTCACGGGGTGAGCAGAATGCTCATTCTCACTAAGCCAGCATTGCTTTATAAATCAAGTAATTGAAATCATATATATTTAGTTAAAAGATTTTCCGTTAGATTCACTATATTACATTAAATTCTTAATTCAGGATTTAGAAATAACGAAAAAATTACTTACACAGGCATAGACAAAATTGGCGGACTATTTTTGATTAAACCATTTCTTTTTAGCTCTGAAATGATATCACCACCAGCCAATTGCCACCAGTGGTAAAGATATTGTAACTTACATCCTAATAAACCTCTTGGTATTTTAAGATCTATCGGTTTTTGATTGTTAATCTTCTTTAAAACTCCAAGGATCTCAGAAAATGTAGATCGTTCACTTGGATATATTGTAAGGCATTTCTCTATGACATCTCTAATATTTTCTGGCAGTGCCTGTAAAATATTGAGAAGTTATAAAGTTTCAGTTATTTTATAATTTTGGTACTTTGGAACACATAAATATGCTATTCAATTTCCTAATCTTACTCATTTAAAAAAAAAAAATTTACTATCCAATGCCACTGCATATGAAATTGATGCCTTCGTAGATCGTGTAACATACAATTAAAAATATAACATTTTACTACAACCCTTACGCATGGGACAGAAATATACCTGTAAGTGGAAATTGTTTACGATTTAAGGATATGTAAGTCACTATGTATAAGCTTTAGAGAAAAATATTCTTAGGGTGTGTTTCACAATGTACGGATAAGTTCTACATAAGTTCCAAATTTGCTATTTACTACTTATTGGTAGGATAAACACTATTGTTGCATTTCACGACTGTCAGATAGCGCTATTTCTCACATAAAGTCCATCTTAAGTTATGAGTCCGATGAAGTGTCAAATAGCACAATTTATCTTACATTACATATATACATTACATTGTGAAACAGACCCTTAGTATCAGTCTTTAATCTAATAAACATAATTTTCACTTTAATTGGACAGAATGTGTTTACTATTCTCACTTAGTAAATAATGTATAGCTTTACCTTATAAGAATCATAGCAGTCATGTTCTCTAGCAATCCTCTCTGCTGGGTTATTGGCATGGACGAGTGTAAGTATTCTTCTTAATATTGGACCAGGTTTCAAAGTACTCCATAATTTACCAATGCACAGCTCCAACAGAATTATACCAAAACTCCATATATCTGCTGACGGTCCAGCACCATTCAATATGGTTTCAGGGCTTAGGTAGCGTGGAAGTCTGAAAATGTAAATGACACTTCATTTGGCTTCTACTTTGATTAAGATTTTAACCTTTCCAATCAAAAGATAAGATTTAACAGCTTAACTTTTTAAAACTTAAAAGAACAAGATTGGTCATGTTTTTATAACATTAATAATTTTCAGTTTTAACTTAACAAAATCGGATGTGATAAACAGACCATTTAACAGTTATTATCTAAAAATTTACCCCAGAGGAAATGGTACTTCTTTGCCTCCGTCAGTCATATAGTACATTCCATAATTGTACAATTTTACTCTACCACAACTATCTATTAAAATATTATCATCAGAGAGTGCCCTATGCGTTATTCCTTGCTGATGGAGATAACATAAAGCATTAGCTATTTGAACTCCTATGCTTATAACTTCCTGAATTGAAAATTTTGATTTGTGTTCTGCTAATGATTTTCCTATTACTTCAGCAACCACAATTATCCTTTCTGGAATAAAAATATTAATTGAATATTCAGTAAACAAGGTCTATTAAACAATTAATGTATACTTTAATTAGTTGATGCTACTGCACAATGTTTATTAATAATTTTACTTTACAGGATTATGTGTCTAGGACACTTTGACTTTGCAAAAGACTTGGTTCTTTGCTAACAATAATTTACTACTTGCAAAGGGAATCATTATTTTGTAATGCAAGTGTCAATGGTACATATAGAATGGAAAATCCAAAATGTTCAAGAATAGATAGGTGTATATAGAATAGTTTGGCAATTGAACACTAACACACACCATGTTTTCCCCGGATTATATCAAGATACGTGCATAGGTTTCTGTGTTCTATAGTTAATAGCCGCTGAGCTCGACCCAATATTGTTACAGAACTCGGTGTAAGCGGTAATCCATTGCTACCACAAGTTTCGCCTGGATGGTTCCTTGCGAAGTAGGTACAGGATGCAAACTTATAGTCCTCTTCTTCATCCATATTAATCATCATCTTATTTGTTATAGAAGTTTAACTCTAGTGGTCAAGTATGCAGCTCTTGTATTTTGCTATTATATTTGGGGAGGTGTTGTTGGCCTCATAGACAAATAAAAATGGTTTCGACTTTTATTAAGAGTTACCTCATATAAATACAAAAATCTTTAATGACATCAATTATTAGAATAAGGATTAGGCATTAGCACAAGACTAGAAAAATAATAAAATATATTCATAGGTCAATCTTGTATTTTCAAACAAAACACTTTAAAAACTTTAACAATATTATCTATTGCACAGCAACAGTATATTAATAATTAATATAGCCTGAGGGAGGGTAGGTCAGAGAGTCTCAGTGTGACCGTTTTAAAAAATGGCGATATACCAAAACTACAAGGTGCCAGTACTAAATAATACCAAAACACATGCTGAATTATACTAAAAATATACTAAAAGAAAAAGAGGATTTTTTTTATTAAAACGCTTATTATCAGATACTTTTTAATTTTACTAATTACACACCTTCATTATACAGACATATTAAAATAATAATAAATATTTACAATAAGTTTTATTACAAATACTAAGTCAGTATTCGCTGCACTGAGCTAACTGAGCAGATTTAGTGCGTTTGCAGGAAAAGCCCTTTGCGATTTCCGAATCATAAAACATTTTGCTGAATAAATCGCTGAGATGATCCATGGCCCGAGATGGTATGCTATGTTCTGCCAACGCTGCATAAAATTTAAGCTCTGCTTTTCTTACTTCTTCAGATATGGGTTCTTTCCTTTGAAGTAATTTATCATCTTTCTGAAAATAAACAGGATTTGATTAATTTGATGAATTTAAATCAATTATACATGTGTGTACAACTGTACATGTACTATCCAAGATTCATCGGACATCCTGTAGAAGTAGGACAATTAATTCATGTGCCATAAAAAAATAAGGGACACAATAATCTTATAAATATGTTAATGGGGGCATAGCTTTCTTACCTTGGATTGTCCACTATAACGTATAAGTTTCTATCGATGTTTTTCAGAATATGCATGACTTTTAATTGTAGCGATTCTGCTTAAAAATGTTGCTCCACACGTTTTACACAAGGCGTTCTCATTATTTTTATCTTTTGTCAACCATGACGAAAATTCAGAATTTTGTTCCCACCCAGATCTATATTTCTGATCGTATTTGCGCTTCATTATCTTCACTACACATGCACACAGAGAGAAATAAATAAAGAACTAAAACATCCGTGGTCCCAAAAGGGACCACATGTATAAAAATACAGCATGTAACGTAGATACATGCTATACGTAGCTAAAGCACGATTCGCGAATTTGTTAGCATTAACCGTTCGAAAGAGACAAAATGATACATTTGCGGTAAACATCAGACAAAGACAAAAACATGTGAACGAAATACGAACGAATGGAAGTGAGTGTTTCCCGCCCAGCCCAAAAATATATCAAAATGTGTTTTAAAATGTTGAAAGTTTAAATGTACCAAAAAATACAAGTCGTCGGAAATATCTGCGAACCTGGCTTAATGACGTCATACAAACTGGAGAGATAGCAAAAAAATTGAAGATGTAAAAATAAAAAATATTTTATTTGTGTACTTATTTTTATTGATACTCGTACCTACCCATCTTACATACAGCACTAAATAGGTAGTTTATGTAATATTTCACCAAACAGAGAAACAATAAACACTAAAATGCGATTACGAAAGCAAGAATAATACACGTGCGGCGTCGGCGATTGCGTTGGCAACGGTACTGGATAGGCGAAAACGGGGCGGGGTACGGGGGCGCCAGGGGAAGCGCATTCCAGCGAGGTTCGCAGATATTTCCGACGGCTTGTACCAGAATATAAAAGGATACCAAAAAAATACTAAATTAGTTACACGGAGCCCAAATTATACCAATTTGGTACTGAATATACTAAAAACAGTCACACTGGAGAGTCTACTCTTGACTATAATTCCAAACTTAATTTTAGACCACGCCCTCTTAATTTAAGTCCCTAAAGTGTCCGTACAAATCCCAAGAAAGATTCAACTTTAATCCAATAAATAGTTCTTCATATATTTATACTAAATTAGCTATTTAAGTATGTTTAAAGAACCGAGAGTCGCTATTTACATAGCATATATTTTGAAAACGATGAGCGCTTTTAATCAAAGTTCTAAGTGATTTTTTTGCAACTTTCTGCGAAATATTTGCGGTCAGAAACCTTTGGCGAATTTATTTATTGTCGCTTTAATATTTTAAAAGATAATAATAAAATTTATATAATTTACATCAAGAAAACAGTTGTTAGTCGAATACAGTGCCACATACTTTTCTTGGCCGGTGGCTGAAATTGGTACTACCATCTCCATTTTAAAAAGTCAGTCTACCATTGTTTATTTTCTGTAATTTCTTGGTGCGTACAATAAATAATTTTACTATCTACCAACATTTAATAAACATCCAACTAAATTTTTTTTTAATTCCTTGCACTATTAATTACTATGGCAAAGTTTTAATGATCGAACGGTTGTGATTGCTAGGTATCTTAAAATATATTATATTCATAGTACAGCTGGGGTCTAGCCATATTGGTGTCGAAAAGTATTCTACATACACTACCGCTTTTGCGTAATTGTACTGTCGAAAACGCTTCGTTCGTAGCCAAGAGGCATGTCGATACATTACCGCAAAGTCGACAGCGTAGATGCGAGCTGCTGTTCGTAGCACCTTATTCCGTCATATTGTCTCTGGATTAAATGTATTCCTAATGTCACTTTTATAAACAAATAAAAGTTAAAACTACAATATTATTGTTAATTTGCAATAATTGCAAATTCCAATTATTGGAAGCTGCAAAAGGGACATTAGAATGTCAGTAAGGTCGGAACAATTTTCGATTTAAGTGGAATTTACTGAAGGTGTAAAGTGAATTTTAATTGCATGTTTAAATTACTTATGGTTTGTTTCATGTTTTCTCAGAAATTTAAGGCTACAAATAAATACAATATTTTGAAATTGCATAATCGCGATATATAATAATTAGTAGTACTCATACTTTGATATTTTTAGGATTTGACCTCACAACTAATCTGCAAAATGAAGAAGCAACATATTTTGTTACCGCTTAGAAGAAACAATAGAAATAGTACTGTGGATTGATAAATAAAGAGTGAAAATAAGGTTGACTAGAAGTTGATAAGGAATAGAAGGATAGTCCAAGAAATTAAAAAATAATAGAAAAAAAACGTAGACTAGTGTGAACACTGAAATTAGAGTTTGATTTAAGCTTTAATTAGGTTTGGTGTTTGTGCTTGAACATTTTTAATGTCAATTTGAAAGCAGATTTATATATAAGTGTAGATTTTATTAGTGATTTGCTACTAGTTGGAATTATCTCTGTTTATGTCCAACAAACAATTTTAGTTTAAGTTAGAGTCATAAAGGTTGATTGTTTATAATAAATGTATACTTTTAGAAAGTGAGAATTGAAAAGCAGCAAGTACTCAATGAAATGAAAAGAGGGATTAATAAAAATTATAAAATAGAAACTTAGTCTGGTATGAAATTATAAGCCTTACTCAACCTTTGATTCCATATTGATGCTCCAACATCTTAGATATAAATTTAAGTTTGATGCTGATTTTAAGTTAATATTTATGTCAATTAAGTTTTGGTTATATCAGTGATTTGCTACTAGTTAATATGTAAATGCCAAATCTGTTTAAGTAAGAAATGAATAAACATTGCATGTTATGTATTTGTCAGTTTTATTTTTGGTAATTTACCTATGTCTTCTTTAGTAAGAAAAACCATTAAAGTGGTTAACAATATAAGTTTCTTTTACAAGAATATACAGATAATGCATATATGAATGACCCGTACCTACTAATAGTTAGAAATATTAAACAAATAGGTAGCAAAATAAAAATGTTCCAGTTATGGTTATTTTTATTAAAATAAGGCACCAAATATCTTCCTTAACATAATGCAGTCTACATAGAAAAATAAGCATATATAACAACTTGTTAAACAATACAGACATTACTACTGAACACACACAGGTGCACCAAATTCAATGCATTACTACCTAATGTAGATGTATTCAATTATTCATATTTATATATGTAGATAATTAACTAATAAATGTAAGTGTTAATTTGCAGCAAAGTCAATATCTTATTTGTGTGCTGTTATATACAAAAAATTGTTCAATTCATAAAACCTAACGTTAGATGTTGTGATGATTTCATAAAATTACTATGATACCTACAGTTACTATGAATACATCCTGGGCGATTAAAAAAACAGTGATTGTTTCCTTAACACAACAATTGTAAATAATAACAGTTATTTTAAAGATATAATTCTTCCCAAAATCTACAAATCCAGTTTGTTTATAATAATATCTCATTAACATTCAAACTGCTGAATTTATTAAGATTAAATGTGGAAGAACATAGTTTCAGTTACTGTTTCCTGTTCATGAGGTAATGTTACTTAACCAACCATTATTTCATACTCCACTTGTCTTATTTTTTACATTATTCATAAAATGCTTCATTCCCCATTTTCTGGTACATAATATAACACTTAAATTAATTAAAAGATAAGACTTTAATAAAACTTGTCCATTTGTGGTTTTTTTTAATAAATTTTTAGTTGTCTTATTAGCTTCTCTTTTTCTGAAAAGAAAATATTTTAGTTAGTACTTTGATCAAATAGAAAACTGACAAACTAAACTAAGATCGGTCCAAGGTTTGTTCAATAGGTAACTTTAATTTACTCTTTACTTAATTCTAAACTTAAAAATATACTTAATTTGTCACTTTGCTGCTTATTGTCAATTAAAGTTTTTAATAACCAAACAATGTCAGTAACTCCCAAGGGACTTGAATTCAAACTTCTCATTCATTAACAATATTATAATAACTTCTCTAGTATATTGACTTAGTAAATAATTAAAGAAAATATCTGCTTACCATTATTTAGTATTGCTCACTAGATTTTATATTTCCAAAGTTCATAAAGTATAAATCCACTTTATTTGATTAATTTAAATCAATATTATATCATTATCAACTTCTATTATAATTACAATAAAATATATTTAGAACTTCTAATTATGTTCATTAGTGACTGCTTTCTCATCTGAAATATACAAATAAAATGTACAATCATTTTACTTTGTGATTACATAATATATGCAATATTAAATGGTATACGTATTTGTCAAATTAAAGAACAATTTCATGAACTTACATGCAATATAAATATCAATAAAAGATATCCAATATAACTAGGATTTACCTCTACTAATTTGCTGATTTTCTTGATATTTTCATATTTATCTGTGTCTATTATGTTATCCTCGCATTGATTCATAGAAAAACTAAAACTCTTAACTTAAAAATATTAACTCTAGTTTAAATTTATTAAATTATTATAATTACACGAGAACGTTAAAAAAAGACAGATAACAAATTAATTATTAAAACCATTTCGTAAAAACGTCCAAAATATGACATGTTTTTAAAACGGTAGCCATTAAAGATGGCAATAGTTGTACTGAATTATTGCAAACAGCAGCTTTTGAGATAACGCTAAAACATGGCGGAGAAACGCCGTTTTTTCTACACTGCCGAAACATTAATTGGCCGTTGGCTACCGAATAGCGGCAGCGTTAATGTGTGTCTTTTCGTAGCACTGTCATGGCGTCGCTTATTGTATCCCGACTCACGCCTTTAGGGCCTAGGCTACCGACTGTCGACACGAGCTGTCATTTTCATACAAATTTAGTTTTCGACTTTCTACATACACTACTGTTAAGCCATCTTGGCTAGACCCCCAGGTAACAAAACCTATCAATCAGTTGTTCCTAAATTTTTTATGCAGTGTTGCCCCGGTGTAATATGGGCTATATTTTGTAGAATTTTCATTATTTCCATTTTAGATGCATCTTGCATTGCATTTTAGATGGTCACGTTCTTTTTTTCATATATGATGGTAAATGACATTTATAAGAGTTTGTTCGCATTATTTCACTAATATATATAATAAATGTTTTGTAAAATATATGCGTTTATTTTTAACGGAAGGTGCGTGACAAAAATTTTGTAATAAAATCAATTTCCGTATAAAATAGCTTAGAAATAACAATATGGACTAAAACTAACGGTTTGTAAAAAGCAACAGCTTTCAGAGATGGGAAAGTGAACAGTGTAGCGCAATTCAGCAAGTCAAGTCTGAAAGTCACGTCACACGTGTTTACTGTTCTATCATCTGTGATTTTCAAGTATGACTTTAATTGGCATAAAGGTCTAGATACCAGGCCATAAACTCCAAAAAAAAAAAACTTTAATGGCTGTCGCCTGTCTAATGTCTATTCACTAATCACTATTGTTAAGTTGTGAATTGTGATTTTATTTAGTATTTACCTATTGTAAACCGATATTGCGAAAATATTTTTAATCTTCATTATTACTATTACTTTTAAAACTCAATTAGCTTTTCATGATCGTAACGCAATTATGTTGTAATTATATGAAAGCGAGGAAATTTTACTAAGTTTTATACGATTTAAAAAAAAATAGGAAATTGAAATTGGTGAAACTCACAGCACAGTGCACTCATGGCCTGTTTAGAGAATATGGATTCAGAGAGAGAAGAAGGTGAAATTGTTGACGAACTTGATAATTTATCAGATATTTCATCTGAAGAAGAGTTTTTATTGCGTCAACGATTAGAGATCCTCGAGAACTACAACAACGTCCTTGAACGTAAAGAGGCTAAAAGGTGTACCATTGGATCAGGTTAGTTTTCCTTTTTGAATCAAATTTCTATATTACTTGTTTTATTTTTAATTTACCTATTGTGTTAAGTAAGTATTACTATTAGGGCCTCACTTTCCTTTAGCACTAATCGAGTTTACCTCATCCCTTAAAGGAGGATTGCAGATGATCCCCTATATGAGATTGAATTTTTAAAATCTATTTTCACTTCTAAATCTTAATAACAATTAGTCATTAAAAGGCATAACTATTGGTTAAATCAGGAGACTAATTTATGCCACTATCTCTTATGGAGGATTCCTTCCTCTAATAAAATGTTTGCTATTTAAATGGCCACATCCCAATAGAACATGCCTTTCTGTGTTGTTATAAAAAAAATATCAATATCTTAATTTCATTGACTATTATATTTAAATTAGCATGTCCTTTAGTAAAACTTATAAAAAAATCCAAAAAGTTGTATTATTTTGTAAGTACATTTTTCAGGTAAATCAAGTAAAAATAAGGAATTTTTTTCTCCAGACTGTTTTATTCAGGAACAGAAAGGTTCATCCCAGCCACAAATTTACAGGGTAATTCGAAATGATAAGATAAATAAGAGACCAAAAAAACTTAAGACACATGTTAAGGTTTCAATAGGAGCTAGTAAAAAGAGCAACACCAAAGCTAAAAAACCTACAAAATTGACAGTTAGTGATTCTAGTGAGGATTCCAATGATGAGGAATATAAAAATAAGCGTCGAAAACTTGCTGATGCTGTTTCATTTACTACTAAAAAAATTGATAACTCTTCTCTTAAAGAGAGACTTGCAAAAATGCTGCATCCAAAACCGGAAAGCAAAATTATAACACAAAATACAATTTTAACTGGTACAACTACAATTCCAAGTTGTAATATAATTAAATCAATTACTGCATATAATTCATTGAGTGAATGTAATGATAAATTATTTAATGAAACAAAAACAGTTGATTCAATTATTATGCCTACTGATCATGATTTAAAAATTGTCTCTGATAAGGAAATACCTGACACTGTGGATGGAATTGATAAAAGAGACGAGAGAGAAAAGAAATGTGATAGTGGTGGTAGTTCCGATGAAGATTTAGAATTGTTAAGACAGAATGCTTTAGAAACTAAATCATCGAAACAAAATTCAGTTCTTCAGGAAGTAGTTCATGTAGATTTGACTAACAATAAGCATGAATCAGAGGACGAAGACAGTGACACAGAAGAATTGAGGCTGATTTGTCTAAGATCAGCATTGATCAAAAAAGCAATAGAAATGAAAAAGAAACAAAAGTTACAAAAAAGACTGTCTCAAAATTCCATAGTTTATGATGACTTGCTTGATAAATCCGAAAATAATGGTAACACAACTGATGTGGAAAACATTGATATGGATATAGGTTCAGATGCAGAAGAAAAGGAAAAAGACCCTATCACACATGAAAATAAATTAAATTATTGTAAACCAGATGAAAAAAATAAAAAAGAATTAATAACGAAAAAAGAAGAATTAGATGAGGATGAAGATTTACTTAGAGCAAAATTACTAACATCGTTAAGTAAAAATTTACCTATTATTGCTGATATAAACATTTTGAATGCAGCAATACCAAAGACGGAGACAAAATCTAACAATGCTGTACCTAAATCTAAAATACAAGAAAAAAAGTTTATTATACAGCTGGGTGACTCAGACTCAGAAGCAGAACATGAGGCAACAAAGAACTTGACAAAAATGCATATGAAATTAGCTGAACAAACAGAATTTCAACTTAAACTTGATCAATTCTTAAAATCTACTAGAATGCAAGTTGAAAAAACCACCGTATCTGATGTTGTACAACCACCTGTGCCTGTGAAACCACCAAATAAATTTGTGCCAAAGGTTGGGATATCATTGCATATTAAATTCTTGTATGTTTAAAAGTATCATAACAATTTATAAACATTTTTTAGGCTATGAAACATTTACCTAAATCTGAACAAATGGAATATAAAAACTTGGTAAAGAGAATGAGAGAACTGGAAAAGCTAAAACAATCTAGACAACTGCTGTTAAATAATAATTTAAATAAAAACAATAACAAAGATATGTTAAAGCCAAGAAATATTTCAACAAATGAGAGGGAGGTTATGGAAAAAAAATTAGAAGAAAAAATTGCCAAGTCAAGGTAGATGATGTGTATAGTTTTTATAATTAATTATGAACTAATATTGATCTATCAAATATCTTATTCCAGAAAAATTATAGCTGAAGAGTCTGCAAAAATGTTAAAACTTAAAGAAGAAGCTAAGAAATTATCACAGAGATACAAGATTGTTTCCAATGAATTAAGAAACATCACAACAGCAATCACATTAAATAAAAAACAACAAAGAACTGTTCAGAATGGATTAGACAAAATAAGACTACAACATCAGATGTTACTGAAGAGGTTTGATTTTTCAATAAGTGCAAAATTTCAAATATATTTAGAATACTTTGAATGTTGGTTGTTGTGATTGTTTTATTTATATAAACCATTTCTTTGAAACGTAATTACCAGTTAAGGAAATCTCTAAATTGTTTAATCAGTCTTTTCATTTCTTGGCAGTTTTCTTATTGGTTCAAGTATATTATTTTGCGTTGTAGAAATGACATATTATACATTTTTACCGTAGTGATCTACAAAATCTAAAAATTCTTGAAGTTTTCATATTTTTCCAATTTACTGCTCAGTTATATTATCAAAGAGATTTTAATTCTATAAAAGTTCAATAAAATTTGGATTATTTCCCAATTTCCATAGATACATAATTATGTGACAATATTTTTCTGATTTCAGTTCACCTATGTCATATTCCACACCAAATAATCCTAATATACCAACATTAACAAATAATAAGAAGCAAAAAGAAAATGATCCATTTGTTAAAGATCATCAAAATGCAAATATGTTAAAAACTGTGAAGATTAGTTTAGTTAACAATTTAAACAAAGAAGCAAATTCAGTGCCTAATAATTCAAAATTATCAGTTGAAGTTGATGTTGGTAGTAATAAAAAAGTTGTAAAAATTCCAAAAACTCCAGAAAGAATCGTCGCTATTAATGAAAGCCCTGATTGCAAAGAAACAAATAAAGATGGAGAGAAAATAGATGATAAGGAAGAAAATGGCTCAGATGATTATATTTCTCCACTAAACGCCCTGGGACGAACTGAGTAAGTTTCTTCCATGATAAAATCGATTGAATTACTAATTGCATGATATATAATTATTTACATGTCTTAGGCGTAGAAATTTAAGAAAATATGCAATGACCAAATCCGTGGATGGCATTTGCGTACGAACATCGCATAATATGGGAGCAGCGATGTAAGTATGCATTTAAACTGTCCACAAAAGTGCAATAACTTAAACAGTTTTAAAATATTGATTTTTCAGTTGGAAAGAGGACCCCAATGCTCTCCTGTGCCCATACGAAGTTGACGGCAGTTGCCGAGACTCTGATTGCAAATTCCTACACTTACAGACACAATGACATAGCAAAAAAACTCACAAACATTCACGTAGAAAAAAACAAAAAACCCTTACCTATTTCCGTATTCCCTAGTAACTGTGCCATCTTCAACTGCCAATGGAGTCTACGCACGAGTGTAAAGTATTTTAGATTTGTTTAAATTTTTATGCATGCTTGGGAATTTGTGAATTAGTCAAGGAATTGTTTGTCTTAGTTTCCCTTATTTATTATTTTATTTACTGTGCTTAATAATAATTTTGCATTGTTTTGAATATCATAAAAAATATATTTCCGTTGGGAAGGGTATACTGATCTAATAGCTATAGTAACTTCAAATTTATTTATGGAGAAATCATTTGTTTGTCTGTATTTTAGTCAAATATGTGTCTAACTATTAACTTAATTTCGTTATCATGATTTTCTGTTATCACAATTAGTTATACCAATTGCTATAATTTTCACATAGTAATGGAGTAATATTTTTTAAATCAAAACTTTATAATCTATATATGTATTGCGATTTATATGTGATATTTTATATGCAATTTCTAGTTGGAGTGATCGCGCTGGGTCGCTCGTCGCGTTGCGGTAAGTTACGAGTTAAGTTTTTAGTGATTAGTAGTGATATGACAATTCTGCGAGTGGATGGACGTCACCAATGGTAAACTGTTGTGAATGAAAATCTATTCTAATTATTCCTATCTTTTCTATTTAAAATATAGTTTTTATAAAAATGTACATAATGTAAAAAAGTGATTATTAATAAAAGACATATTGTAAAACGTGTTTCATTTCAATGACCTTCGTAAGAAAATAATACAGTTTTAAAAACGAATATTTTATTCAGATATTGTAAATGAAAATACCACGTAAAATATTCCATCACATTGATACACATTTAGACAAAAATACGTATTCTGGAATCAAATTCGATATATTAATAGAAATCTTAAAATAAAAGATCACTGACTAGACAATAAGGTACACATCGTGACAGGACAGGACTGTGGGCATAGAAATATGTGAAACGGTTTTAAACTTTCGCTTTTATACAATAAACATTTCATATAAAACTCTATAAATTCATAAGATTTATTTGGTGTCTCAAAAGCTCAAATAACATCGCATAATTTAAATTCTCGTTTATATTTACGAGTTAATTTTTACCAGCTAATTATAAATAGCCCACAGTTAAGAGGAGATACACACTGGTAATTACGATACAGGAAGATTCAATATTCTTCAAACACTTTACTACGACGACATAACGTCTTTACATAGTCTTCGCGTGTGTTGTGACCTCGCCAAAGAAAAGCTCTTGTTACCAAACTACGGTTAATTTATAATTCCATAATCTGTTGAACTTTAAAGGAAATTTCTTTATAGCTTCTCCGGGAAACAACTGTTATATCATTGGCACTTACATAAGTTTTGGTGGATTCTAACATTTTGTTGTATGTATTTGCCTATATTCGAAACAAAAAGTGTATTTTTCGAGACAATTTCCCAAAATGAGGTCACATTAACACTGTCGAGTTATTTATCTGAGCGTGTGCCACATAGCGACAGCTTTGCGCGTCTCTTGCGCCATCTGTGCCCAGTGGCGGCCTTCAGCGGCTGGCTCAGCTGCGCCCACGCAGCACCAGCCTACAACTAAGTTGTTACTGCCACCAGTTACCACACATATCTGAAATTATAATATTGTTTTTAACAAAATTATTTGTCTTTCCTTTTAGTCCTAGCTTTTATTTTATTTTTACTCTATAGTAACCACTGGCGTACATCAATAGAATATAAGCGTAACAATGAAATGTTAATTGCTATGAAACGAATGAATGCAATGTCACTGCTGAAGAGAGTGTCTACGTCTTCTTTCGGGGCGTAAGTTTTAAGATATCGAAAATCGCCACGCTTATAAAAGTAAGACAGCCTGAGTGAGTAAAATCTACAGCCTTAGCTCGTACTGCTATAATTCGTTATATTAATAAAAAATCTAGTTTAATCCTAAAAAATCTGAAATAGGATTTAACTATGTGTAATTATTATTATTTTGCAATTACTTCAACTGAAGCTTCCTGTAGGTTGGAAGACGATAGGCTGAAAGAAAGCGCCTCGTTCCATACAGGATTATTTATCTCTTTCCTATTCGTCTTCTTCTTCTTCACTCTCTTTCCATTCACCAAGAGGTAGACCTTCACGCAAACATCTGAAAAGTTCGAATGCACTTCAAATAAATATTTATTTATGTAATGATTTAGTCCTTTTACCCAAATTCATCCTGTTTAATGAAAATTAAACAGTAAAAAAAAAAGTTTAATGTAAAGACCTATTATTTTGTTTCTACTTGTAGCTTTGATAGCTGCGGTTAATTATGATAATTGAGGTGTGTTTCAATAAATCTGTGACGTGTCACACAAACAATTTTGGATCACATTGCATTGCCTTCATATAGGTAATTCTATTTACTTAGCACGTTTATCAGGGAACTAGAAATGTTACGATTCGGACACGATAAAGAAAGAGAATTGTCTGTTATATATTTGGAAGTATACCCAAAGCATCTTTCCCCTCCTGCGGAGGCAGAAGATTACGAGCCTTCAATACCACGACGGTCAGTCGTTCAGCAGAAGGCAAGTAAGACAAGGATAACAATAGTTCTTGCAACTCTTCGGGCGGTCTTCTCTCTCGGGAAAGTTCAGCCCAGACTTCGGCTCCACCTGCCACTTCCACTTTTGCCAGAGGTATTTTTGCTGAACCCATCACTTCGTTACGGGAAAATCTGGAATTAAAAGTGTTTAAATACCTGAAGTTTTATGATGGGTTGCATGTCAGGCTTGCTAAAACTATTAGGTTTAGTTATCGAGGGCTAAATATATTTCCGAAGAACCTACGATCCTACGAGCCTGTATCATTGATAATAATATAATATTAAACTTTCTAACATATTAAAGTTAGTGATTAGTAGGTACCTATACGAATAATTAATTTGTATAAACACAACTCTTCGTAGTAAAAATAATACCGAAAAGTAAAACAATTTTTCTTTAAAAGTAATTCCTTCACTTACTTTCTATAACAAAATATCTAGAATACACAATTTTGCTTTCTTAATACTATTGATAATATACCTACTAATACGATCGATGCAGTAGTTAAAAATACCTACCTGTCATAATCAAAAACTTGAAGTAGAAGAGTCTTGTCACTGAGATCATCATGTGATACGGGGAACTTGAAGTGCTGATCAAAGAACGGGTTGGCCTCATTCCTGTGTACTGGGGTCTGGCGCACCCGAGTGTCAACTTCGGGTATGAGACTCACACGCACATAGGGATCGTTGAAACCCCCTGCTTCATAGCCCGCCAAATCATGAGCTGGAGTCAGTCAGTATTATACATTACAGATTCTGTGAGGAAAGATAACTGGCGTGGCGGCTATTTAGCATAACGGTCTATGATTTTTCTTTTCGTATTAAGATAATTATTATTACGTAATAGTATTGTCAATATGAAAGAAAGTAATTTCCCGCTACTGAGACCTCAAATACCATCCGAATATCCCATTCCGCACAGAATAGTATGTTATAAATATATATTTAGAATCAATTTTACACCTTTTCTGTGTAAGTGTACTTGGTTACTATATGAATAAAGTTCTTTTGAGTTTGAGTACAGACACAGACAAGTAAGTCTACGAGGACGAGAAAATTTTATGGCTGTGTAACGAATGAGTTGAGTAATCTCACATTTTTAATGGGTGGATATAAAAGTTTATATCGCCGCATATAAAGATTAAAAGCACGGAATAGATAAAGAAAGTTAGAACAGCGAGGTCGAATGTACTAAAAAAGTTAGAACCAGTACTGCTACTGCGTTTTTTTTTTGACACATGAAGAATCCACGAGGTATAATTTATATTTATAGCAAGCTGCACACTTGAGGAATTTTTGCGGTATTACCCTTCCATCGTTACGATAGTGTCACGGCATTTTATACATAAAAACACGTGCCTTGCCTAACACCTTCTATCACTGGCAGTGTACTTCAAAACCAAACCGATTCAAATGAATAGTATACCTTCAATAAGATGAACTTCCAAGTCAGATCGATCGAAGTCGTATTTCAATCGCAAATGGATTCTCCCGAGTGATGGTCCAGGCCCTTCCAATTCTATTACCAATGGGGCCTCTCTTTTCGTGTAAAGGTCTGGTTGAAGGGCCCCAAGGGAACTGATAGTTGACCCACCGCCTGGGCTAAGTGGCCCGGCTCCACTGCTGCTTTCCACCAAGGAGTTGCTTCTGTCTATTCTTCTAAAAAATATTAAAGGTTTTTATCTCTTGTATTTTAATTATTGCTTTGTTTTACGATGAACAGTGTTGGCCTAGTGGCTTGAGCTTGCGATATCCGTGAGGTCATAGGTTAGAACCCCGGCTGTGCACCAATAGGTTTTTCTGCGTCTCGCTCGTACGGTGAAGGAAAATATTGTGAAGAAAACGCATTAAACCCAAAAACGGCGTGTGTCAGGTACAGAAGGCTGGTCACCTATTTGCCTATTAAATTAAAAGTAGCGGGTATAAATGTGAGGTCAAGATAAAGGACTGGTATTTTGTTATTCGGTAGTCAGCATAAACATGATTTAAAACCTTTTTAACGGGATAGAAACAGCTCAATAAGGGAATTTAATACAGGTAACGTTCAATTAAAGGTTCAGTTGATGGTAATTAACGTAAGTACAAAGATGGAACTTTATAACTATATACCTTTACCATTATTTTATAAAAACCAAGTTAGAATTTTATCTGAAAGATAATTAGATCTAGAAGATAATTCTCTTAAAGCCCCTAAAGTGGAAATCGCTATATAAACAGTGATTAATATGTATTTTTCCACACTAAGAAAAGTTTTAAAAGCTACTAAAAATTTCAAAAAGGACCAGCGATATGGAATAAGTATTTTAATATTTAATTCAGTCATCGGACCTTTGAAACGCTATATTTTTATAGAGCATGGTATACTAATTTCAGGTCTACCAAATGTAATTTTTTTTTAGAATATTATATATATTATGATATGGGGTAACTCCGAAATCATTATTATTAATAAGCCTTTTGTCATTTAAATATTGCAAAAACTACATAATTTTAATTAGATTTAATAAGCGGAATGCAAACAATTCTTATTTATACTAATATTAAAACAACTATAAACAAACTAATCAAAGCATGTGTCTTTCAAGTCCTCTAATCCTGTGTTTTACCGGGGAATTGAACTTCTTGTAACACATCATGTACCCCGTGGTTAATTTAGGCAGTGGAATCATAACAGTATATGTAAATATCTTAAACCCTATCCCAGTATTATTATGCCATATTGCCCTCTTGGCTTTTAAATAATTCAGTGTAATATTGTAATATTATGTTCAGTAGGTACATGAACTGTTGACAGTTCTGCCTGTCCACAGGGAGATGATATGGTTCACCCTAAATAACTTATGAATCTAAGTTGAGTGCTTTTTCGTTGATTACATTAAGTACACTCTTCATTTTGAATTTTTTAGTTGCAAAATTTTTAACTTGCTTATAAGAAACCATATGTGTATACTGTTCCAAAATTGTTCTATACTGAATAATTTTTAAATATAAACTACAGTGAGCATGAAACAATTAAGAAATAGCTCTTTATTTATATTATTCACGGGTTATTAATAAAGTATCGCAATATCTATACATTATTAAATATGTATACACTATACAGGTCGTCCCAAAGTTATGGGACATGAAGGGAAAGTACCTAAAATATAGTAAATAGGGTATTTTACTGAAAGAAGACTTTATGTTATTTTTTAAAGTTAGTAATTCTGCATTCAAAGATTTTCTAAAAATTACTTGCCTCGCCTGGGAATCGAACCCACTTTCTTCTTCTTTCTTTCTTGTCCCATAACTTTGGGACGCCCTATATAGATATATAAGTTATACGTATTAGGGTATACCCTTATTATTATTCAAAGATTTCAACTACACGTTAATAAAAATTGTAGTTAAACAAAATATTAGCCATACGGACAATATTCATCATGGCAATTTATATTGGTAAAAGCTCAGCATTCGACAACCATTACATACATACATAAGAACATCTTAAAGCTAAAAGCGTTTTTGATTATATTGGTAACTGCGCGGAATCCGGAATACAATTTTACTAACATTTCTATAATCGTTTTATTACATTCTCAAATTGGAAATAGTAAATAATAGTATATACACGATACAACGGAAAAGCAATTATCGGATTAAACAACGTCGATTGTGTATATCGATAAAGTGTCGAGTTAAGTGTCGAGCGAGGTGTCTGCAGTGTTGTTGGATAATATGAAATGAATAGTATAGGAGAATAGTTAAGTGAACTAGCAGTGAAGTAATTTCATATTTTCAAGGAACAAAGATAAGAACATTTTATACAGCTGGGGACATAAAATATTAAACCTACGTTTGATCTTTACAGAATATTAGTAAGAATGTCTGTTTAAAAGTATTTGGCTTCAATTAAGTATCACGTATTAGGTACAATTCAAACTTTAACACCTAACTTCAATAAGTTGTTGTCAAATTATCTTGTTTTGAAAAGAACCGATCATCAAATAAAATTTAAATATTTTAGCAAATATTTAAGTAAAAAGTATTAATATTAAATGTTCAGAGTTACTGTATAAACATGATATTATGTCCTACAGGAGGGGAGGTAAATTGAGTTTGCTTCAATTTGCGTGGAAACCCGGCGCTCGGGATGGCACGCTTGTGCCAGATTGATTCCTTTGGACCTTTTGTTGAAATATTCTAAAAGTTAACACAAATTTTTATCCGAACATCACGTAGTTAAAAGTTTGAATAACATATGTTTGAGTGTTTTACGAATGCATATCGTGTACTACGAATGGATTCAATAACAAACAGGTTCTACGAAATACGTAGACTCGTGCGTGTAGCGGTCTACGAGCTACGAACCATTTCATAAGCAATCGATCCTCGTATCTGTAGGGTAAACAAGTAGCAAACTCATGGTTTCGTGAAACGTTTACCTTTCGATATAAAATAAGAATTGGTTTTTGATATGCGTGATAAATAAATGAAACAACCATTAATTTATAACCAATTTAAATTGAAAAAAATAAGGCAGCGAAAATGCTTTTTATATATGGAAATAACGTAAGAAAATTGTTTAAGTTAGTAACATTGATATATTCTTTTTAATTTTTATACGTATTAGTATCTGCGTAAGATTGACAAACGGGATGAATAACCTTTTAAAAAAAACCTATGCATGCGGGTAATTATTGCGTTTCGCCTGCACTCTAAAATATATTCCAAAAATAAACGCCCATTTTTAGTCATAAAATCATTTGTAATGACAGAACATTTGAATAAATAATATTATTTCACACGCACGCTCACAAATCAATCCCAATCGTCATTACAAGTAATTGATGACACAGCTTTTGTAAACAACGGGTTTTAGTTATACCTTTGGATATTGAAAACACAATTATTCTTTTATACACGACATTATGTGTCATTTTATTGGTTGATGCGGCATAGAAACATTAGATAGTTATACGGTTATGCTATTTTATTCTCGGGTGTTCAAAGTAACATAGTGAAAAAAAGTAATCATCATATGAAATACAATATCGTAAAAATAATGTTATTTATTATTTTTTTAGATTTGATTAATATTATGGCTAGGCTGTGAGAAATTTTTCAACGGTTTTTAGTGTATATAATATATATTATATCTTACCTGGGCGGCATAAGCAGCGGTGACAAACATCTGGGTGGAACAACATGTCTGGGGCTTGGTGGTGCTGGAGAATCGGCCAGGGATGCGAGTGAGCCGTGGGCCATGGGGGCGGCTCGAACATCAAGAGACGCCGCTCTCAGAGGCGACGGTGACCTTGGCATGCTAATACCAGCCTCAAGGGTTCGCCCATCAGGAGCAAATGTACGAATCGCTGGTGAAGAACCTCGGTGACTCTGAAAGACGATTTGAGCAATTTGGGTCATTGTTATTAAACTAGCTTTTGCACGCGAGTTTTAGGCTACTTAATGATGACGAATTTCTATACAAACTTACATAACTCTCAACCTCTTTTTTTTCGTTTACCTGCAAAGGATGTTCTTGTAGTTCAACTCTATTCCTATACTGAATTTAATTAAAATAGACTAAACTACTTTAGCATTTATAATATTAGTAATATATATGCGTTGCTGTGGCTAAGGTTTTTGTTATATTACATAGTTGTAAACTATTCAAGGGAAACGGTAGGAGAACACCAGTCATGGGGACCACCATGCTTTTTTGGTGGTAATGTCATTAAATTGTAGCTTATGTGTCACGTTGGTACTTTCAACACAGCGCCATATGTTAGAATTGTATCAAATAATAAACAAATATTTGCAATAAAATAATATTGCGGCTATAAATTAAGATGTAAGCTATCCTATCTTTTAAGTTGGATCAAACTGCACACGGTGTGCAAATTTGATTGAAATCGGTTCAGTAGTTTAGGAGTCCATCACGGACACACAACGTGACACGTGATTTATATATATTAAGATTTATATTATATATTATAATAATTATCATTAATTCAATGACGCTACAACTAATTGCATCTGCGTCTTTGATAAAGCTTTTATAGGCAGTTAGGTAATCGCCTGTATCAGATTGTACCATTAACCTAATGTATCTTCCAATAAAAGCAATATAATCACCGGGATATCGAAACAAGCAAAAAAATGTCGATACAAATGGTAAGCTAAAGTTTTAATTAAATTTTACTTCAGTTATTCAGACAAAATTAGAGAATTATATTATTTATAATAATTTTATGTTTGTATGAAGAGAGATAAATTTCGATCTAAAATCTTATAGCAATACTTTGCGTTTGTGCATCGAGGTGAATCATATTTCATTGTGAATGTGCACTGAGTGCAGTCAACGTGGCGTGGCTTGATATCAGGACTCAAAAGACATGGCATCAAAGTTCAAAGAGATCATGTATTGATCTCTTTGAACTTTGTTTTTATTATAAAATATTTCTATCAAACGTTTTGACGGGAATTTAATATATTTAGTTGATTCATGTTATAGTGGTCACCGAAAGACTTTCGCGTTTAATTTCAATTCGAGGCAAATATTGAATAAATTTAGATTGCAACATTTCAAACATATTATAACGGGTTTACGCCATTTGTTTATTTTATTTTATATGATACCGATGGTTAAAGTAAATAAAACTGCCGCGTAGTTTCACAATTTAAATGTCTAATTATGGTGTACTAACACAATTATAGAGCAATTACTGTTATAGTTTAATATAATTGAAATTATTTAATTCTTACGTTAAAACATTTAGTGCTATTTTAATCTATTTGGTAGGTCAGAGGCCTTTAGACACTGAAATTACACAAAATGATTATAGTAAGCTATTTTAATAACCCTAAAACCCGTAGAACGCTAAAACCATTCACAAATCCAAAACCATCTTATCCACCGGATCAAATAACAATTCAACAACTTTAAAAAGATAGTTATAAACCCCAATTATAGCATGAATAACGAATAATCATAATATTTCGAAATGAATAGAACTGAAATAAAATTGTAGCGAAATATTCGAACAATTTCAGCTGATTAATGGCATACCAGTGTCAATCGGCATGAATTTGCATTATATGATTAATTTAATGCAATTAACCGATAAATCATCTCTCCGTATGGATTTTAAACGTGACATAATATACAATTATAATGATTGATTTTGATTATTTAAGCAAAAGGAGGCGTCTTGAACATAGTAATTTGCTAAGTGACTGAGATCTGATTAAGTAAGATCGCTCATTTTCGTTCACTCTTCTAGGTTGTCAGCTCGCAGTTCAGCCCTGTGATAGGTAGGTTTTTACCGCCGCTCATTGCCAGAGGGCTTGCGAGTGCGTTGCCGGCCTTTTGATAAGTTAAGTTATTACATGATATACTATTTTATACACACGAATTCTTTACACGAAATTCGGACTAGACATTTAAATATGTTTCGTTGAGAACACGTTTCACAAATATATTATGTCTATTAAAACCTTAATTAGTAAACGCGTTTGAATCTGATATAACTGTATTAAATTATTTAGTTCTCTAATATAACGCGTGATTGTATAGCCTTGGCACAAGTCGACCTGTTTTTGGGATTATTATGAATTCTCTGTATGTGTCGTATTATATTCCTGAATATTAAAGCTCGATCGTTAGTCGAATTAACTCGACATTAGTTGAGCAAGGTCAGATCAAAGTTTGAATTTAGCAATTACCCTACTTAATTTATAGGTACATTGTATACGTATATTGGTGTACGGCTTTCATCATATTCGTTCAGCTGGTGACATTCTTGTATACCTTACACATAGATGGGCCTGAGGCACTAGCTTAGTTTGGATAGAGCAAAAGCCTTCGATTGGGTGTGGCATAAAGCGCTTCTCTCGAAGCTTCCATCCTAACCTGCCTATCACAGGGCTGAGCTGCGAGCTGACAAACTAGAAGAGCGAACGAAAATGAACGACCTTACTTAATCAGATCTCAGTCACTTAGCAAATTACTATGTCCAAACCGCCTCCTTTTGCCTATGCGGCGGTTTCACTTATCATTAGGTAAGCCTCCTGCCGTTTGCCCACTGTACTATAAAAAAATTAAGTTGAACGTACATTGACCTGAACCTATACAGTTTATGCAATCATTTTAAAGAATACGTGGAATTTTTCAGTTTACAGTGAAGTATATGAAAATACAAAATTAGACAAAATTCATAGAAAGATTTTAAAGCATGCAGGCCTGCAAATGGATGCAAAGGTTCGACTTGGAGTAGAGTGGACGAGGCCTACGTCGGAACTACTAAGGAACGAGGAGAAAGATTTATTATACATACATACTTTCTACTTCCACATGACCTGGTTTTTTATTTTCAAAACACATTCATTTAACATCTAATTAAACGATTCAAAATATCTACCATAAATAAAAGAGTCCACGACGATTCATTAAGATAACATTAGTCTAAGCGAAAAGCTTCAAATTAAGCTAAATTCTACTTTTATAGCGTTTTGTTTTCAATAGAAAAGTTCGCGTTAGTTACTAAGTTTCAGAGGGTAATCCTACTGTGTTCGCATCGTCTGTGTAAACTATACTTTTGCAGATATGGTTTAATCGTTCCATTTGCAATATAAATTTTTGAAAATGTTTATCTTTGGTTTCTACGCGGCCAAAGACGCGAGCAGAAATTATCTTAGAACAAAGGCGGGAAACAGCAATTTTATAACGAACTAAAGGGACTCTGTAGTGAATTATTTTCACTTAATAACTTTTTAGTGAATCGCGAGGAGTTGTATACGATGGTAATAGAAATGCCTCTAGGAACCTGGGGATTAATAATTTTCTCGTATATGATATATTAATATCTCGTATTGATTGTAGGCTCCTTTTCTCGCACAAACCATGAATTAATATATTAATGATTTTTTTTTTTGCATTACCAGTTTGTGTATGTGGAGTATTATTGGCATAGTAGCTTGAACGTGCGTTAACCTTGAGGTTGTGCGTTCGATCACGGCTTTTTTACAAATGCGCATTTCACACTCGCTTGTACGGTAAAGCAAAATATCTGAAGGAAACCGGCAGTTCTTAGACCTAAAAGATAAACGACGTATGTCACGCACAACAGGCTGATCAAGTTCTTGTCTGTCAATATTTTTTTTTATCACCAAACAGAGACAGTTATCTGTGATCAAGATTTAGAACTTGTAGCGCTACTAGTCTTTGTTGTATATGTACTGTAGATATAGTTCATTAACTTATGTGCGAACCCTGCCGAAGCTTTACTAAGTTTCGTTATAATTACAATGTCCTTGTATCTCCATAGGATTACCTATTCATAAACAAATTGTATTTTAGAAGAATCATTTGTAATACAATAATTACTTACAGTAGCCCTAGAGGTGCCGCTATCCAGACTGCTCTGTGATGAAATAGAGGGCGTGCGGGCGAGCCTCGCGTGCGGGAGTGACGTAGCAGTTCGCGTTTCACTTAGCGGTTGAATGCGACAGTGCTCCTTTGGTATCAGCATTTCCTGTGGGCAAAAGTGTAAGTGTATACTTTTTGACAAAATACAGATCGCTATTAGTAGGAGAGTGTTTGGGAGGTTATTGTAATTGATTTTGTCTGAAGTTGTATAAAAAGTAAATACTTTATGAATCATGCCAACAATGAGCAGTGGCTTCAGCGTGCGACTCTCATACCTGAGGTCGTAAGTTCGATCCCCTCTCTATTTGCGCATTTAACCCCCTCTTTATATGTGCGCATTGAACATTCGCTCGAACGGTGAAGGAAAACATCGTGAGGAAACCGACATGTCTTACCGACCCAAAAAGTCGACGGCGTGTGTCAGGCACTGGAGGCTGATCATTTTTAAACCTACTTGCCTATTAGATTTAAAAATGATCATGAAACAGATTAAGAAATCTGAGGCCAAGACCTAAAAGATCTTGTAGCGCCACTGATTCTTTTTTTTTAATCATGCCAACAAGTTTGAAAGGGATTTTTTTTAAACATTTTTTACCAGCACATCTTACTAAATCATCACATTCATCTTATCTTCTAATGTTAAATCCGGGTCTTTTAAAAATTTGACCTGATATTGGCATAACTTTAAAACCTCTTTACGTACATTTATAGATTGATGAAAAGCTTAATACAGCCTTTACCTAACTTCCGTTTTGGGAACGTGATCCGGACGAAATTTCGATATTCATCCCACCCACTTAATGCTCGGAACTGATAATCATTGTTTACGGATATGACAGAAACCCGTGCTCTTGACGCATGTATCTCGAAAATGCGGTGTTAACTAATTACTATGTTGTATATAGTATAATATATGCTTATCGAAAAATTTTAATACGACAATTTATTCTTATAACAGGTAGAAATATCTATCTATCACAAAGCAGAGCTGCAAGCATGCATGCTATGCTTTCAATACGAAGAATGTGTAATAAAATGAAAATAGTCCTTATGAAGAAACATATAGAAAACGAGTTTGTGTGGCACAGACATTTTCCTAATTCCTATGCATTATTAACTTATTTGTATGTCTGTTAAATTAATCATTTATATTTATAGGCTTTCTGTTCCTTTTACAAAAACAAGGGTGTGAAAGCAACGTCGTCGGAGAAAGTTCTAAATAACAATTTTATTCTAGGTTTCAGCGAACCAACAATTTTATTACCAAAGACAAAACTAACCAATCGGGAAAATTTACTTAGTTGTTTTCCTGGGTACAATAAAAACATGTCAGTATTAAATGCCTTAGGAACTGAGAGACATCTTATTATTCTTACTTTTAAGAACCAATAAAATTTTATTCCGTTCGGATTCTAAGGTCTTGAAAGTTACTATTTTTTTAAATACCTGTCAGAATAAATTACGTGTTGCTTATGTAACTGGAATTTAGAATAGACTGTTAAAAACATCCAGGTGTTTTTTTAAGCGTAACAGACGACAGAGGGCAAGGAAGAGAGGGCAAGCTACTTTACCAGCCAGCAAAAGCCAACTAAACTACTGTGTTTCTGTAAAGTTAACATAGAATATAGGTGTTAGTTAACTTGATTTTTATAAATCTGAGTAACAAAAAACACTATGATAAAAAGATATATAAACTTTGTAAGTCTTGACCAAATTGTAAAGAGATTAACTATTTGACGAAAAAACATAAGAAATCATGAATTTCATATTCACACGTTTAGGAAACGTGTACAGAGCAGGTAACAATGCTAAAATATTTGCTGTTATACTCGTAAACATCCTTCAACGTTGGTTGTCTTGCCATGAATACCTGAGTTAGCGGTTGTGAAATATTACTCTTGAATCATATATTATAACGTAAATAATTAAGACACGACAATAATGTCTAAGATACAATGGATGAAATTAAATGCCGAGGAAGATGAAATTAGATCATCTTTTTCTTATTTCACAGAAGGCAAAAAGCAATCTTTTTGCCTTCTGTGAAATAACGTATTTCTTGCCAATAAATAAATACTTCAATAAGTATTTATTTATTGGCAAGAAATACAGTGTATTTTGAGTCAAATATGTACACATGTATAACACCCTACCAAACCGTGTTGATAAATGAATAAAGACTCATAGAGGCAATATATAATAAACTTTTAATTAAAAAAAATTGAATTAAAATTTTAATGTGGCCGAGAAGGAAAGTAGAATAAATTCCGTGGAAATGAGAGCGTTAAGAAGCATGTGTGGTGTAACATTGCGTGATAGGATAAGTAATAGTGAGATACGTGAGCAGTCTGGGTTAAAAAGAGGACGTAATGACAAGGATACCAAAGGGAATGCTTGGGTGGTTTGGTCATGTAGAACGGAAGAATGAGAAGCGGTTAACAAGTCGGATATACAAAGCAACCGTGACTGGTAAAGTCTGGGTAGGCCTTGTCGGTACCAGAACCAAACCCAGGAGGTACTAGAGAAGAGACAAGTTAAAAGATCCCATAACCGACGAGCTGGCATGGTGACAATCATAGAAGTGGATGAAGCGAGAGAAAGATGTTAGAACCGTAGCAATTGGAGATGCGTGGTTTCTGCCTACCCTTTTGGGAAAAAGGCGTTAATATATAAATATATAATAATTGTTACTGCTATTGAAGGTGTCCAGGGGCCGTAGAAGTATTACGTAAGAAGATTTACTGCAATTTATCCCCCCTCCCCATTCCTCTTGTCAGCAAAAGTAAGCAAAGCTCAGTACATAAACGTATTACAGTAGAACTCCAATTATTCGAACTCCGACTATCCGAATCGCCGATTATCCGATCCGTGACCTGGCTGCCCGAAAACGGTTGAAGACCGCAAAACAGCTTACATTGACGGAGATGTTTAAAAAACAATGATTTTTATTTCTAAACTTGTGCATAAGTACATTTTATTTATATTTAAAACATGTGAAAATTTCATGTTTCTTTCATTTAATTCAATAAAAAAATAGTGCAATATCAAACCGTAGCTTTTATTCTCTCCAATGGCAATTTTTTAAAAAAAAATCCGACTATCCGAATATTTGATTATCTGAATGGGAATTCGGATAATTGGAGTTCTACTGTAATTGTTTATAGGAATCCTCGAAAATGCATTTCGTTATCAAGCATAGACAATGTGAGTAAATAAATACTGCTGACGTAATTACCAGATAAGAAAATAAAAAAAACCTCACCCCCGTCTACCCTATAGGGTAATAATAATAATAATAATAACGTAATAATTGAACGGCTCCGATGGACACCGATTATATAGTATAATAAGTGTTTTATATTATTTGCTATACATACACTGGGGCTCCCATGTGACTTGTCATCACCGTAGCTGTCAGTTGAGTTATGACTCTGTCCGCTGCTGGCACTGGATGTCCGTTCCCTGGCGGCCCGAGCCCATGATTCAAGCCGTTTCTGGGCTGCCCACACACTTTGAGGGCCCAAACCACTCATTTTTACCGTTATCTTAACAGTTAATACATTATTGCTTTTCCACTAAATACTTCAAATCCGAAAATATGTTTATATTTAGGTCGGTATTCGTTGTTAGATTGTTTTTTAAATAGGCTAAATAAAAACATTATTTTATAAGAATGAGAGCTATTCATGCTTCTGTCAGAATGATTTAGACAAATACAACCATAAGAATGCGGGTAATTAAAATTAACCCTTTCCATTTCATATAATTAATTATTAAATGCTTAAAAATTTAATCAAGGAAATTATCTAATAAAATATATTTCGTGATATAGCTAGAATATGATATATTTTACGTCTTTTATCGATACTTCTAATGTCACTAAGTTGTTATAGAATGTGGTATAAAGTTTAAAGTGTAAATGCGAGTAAGGCAAAACAGGATTCACTAATCTAATTGTATAAACTCATTGCAACAACTGGGCGATCACTTAAAACCTTTTAACATTTCTATCGTTCATTGTTCGCTTAATTTGCTTTATTGTAGCAAATATAAGTAGAAAACTATAGACAAAATTTGAGGCTACATCGAAAATTTTAACACTTCTTTATGGCAGTTTTTGCCGCGCAACGCCCGCTATGTGGAACCAGCCCACCAACCAGCCCACTGGAGTATTTCCGAACCAATTCGACTTAGGGTCCTTCAAGAAAAAAGCGTACCAATTCTTATAAGGCCGGTAACGCACTAGCGAGCCTTCTGGCAATGTGAGTGATATGATATACGGTATCACTTGTTATTTTTTTTTAAACAGTTAAAATTGTATTACATGGTTTATGATTGCGTCACAAGGCAACCAGAGAGATGTAAATACTCTGTTTCAATACCGATCCCAATTATGAATTTTGGCTCCACAGGATCACAACATCGGCCATAGGGATATCGAGAGAACTACGTTGAGAACTACATAGAAAAACGTCGTGATCGCCGTTGCTATTGGAAGTTTCATAGTAAGCTGGCTGGTAGTTAATAGAAAACGTTAAGAAAAAGAAGGTTTGTTGCGCTTAAACCCCTGAATATGAAGTCATAGATTGAGCCTTAAAAATGTGCCTATTATTAAGATGCTTAGATACCGCTGACTTAATAAAATTAGACAACTACGTTGGAAACTGAGACAGACAATTAAAATAATTTGCGTGAACTCTCACTTATTTACCTAATTTAATATGAATTATCCGATTAACTACTCTTTCTTAATCCGTATTTCGGTCTGTCTGTTATTATAAACGACTTACGAACTGGCTTTAGCGGAATTTAGCATTTTATTAAGACAACGTCCAAAAGTTTTAAGCTCCGGGCTTCCTTTGTTTGCGGGTTATTTTTATTTTTTCCTTTTATAAAGACTACATTCATTTTAATTGAATAAGATAATGGGGAACTATTTTTGAAGTTATACTTCTTTAGGCGCGTTATGAAAAATTGATGAGAGTGACATTTTACGATGCGCGCGCACCGTGACACAAAATTTACAGAATGAAGTTGCCCGCGGAAGATGCTACGGCATTGGACATAATTTAAAAACAACATTTGAATAATAATAGAATTTATGTTACACTTAATGTAAGAAAATAATAATAAATATTCATTTATTTAATTTTTCAAATGTAAACTGAACTTTATTGATGACTCCTTTTCCAGTCTCTGATTATTTAATTGTAATTAATTATTTGCATGCAATCAAAAACTATTTTTAATAATGCCAAAGAAGTATAACTTCTTACACGCGTACATAAGTACACGCACCCTTTTTTTATATAGCTACCTACCGTATTAATGATAATCGGTGAATTCTTTGTTACTTATTTTTTAATAAAATAAAAATACAGTAATAAATTCGGGGTTGTCTCGACCAGTTTTTTATACAATTAATATGTTAAGTGTTATGTGTATTGTATTGAAATAAAATTAATATTCTATTAATATTGCTTCACTCGCCTGCTATCATGTAATTACCTCTAAAAAGGGTATGATAGTCATCTAAAGTGTTTTGTAAATAAATAGAGTTATTAAAAAAAGATTTGAAAAACTTCTTAAAACAAGCTTCTTGAAACGGGCCCCTCTTATATTATCTGAGTATTTATAAGAGGGGCCCGAAGACAAACATACAACCACATTGTGAAACCGATACATTAAATTGAGGAACAAACAATAACAAACAAAATAAATGAGTCCTTACAACCATGGTAATAAAAATTTAAGGTAATAGAAGATAGCGAACAACCTAATAATAGCTTTGGGCAGCCTATCGATGGCGCCAGAGCGGCTGTCAAAAGTAAGCATCGAACACTTCTTTAACCTTCATACAAGGTTATATTTTTACAATGTTCCTTTTATATTCGTAAATATAGGTGATATATAATTAAAGGCCTTAAAGAGCTGCTGCGGGAAAATGTGATTTGGAGGAAACCAATACGTGTGTATTGGAAGATATATAGAGAAAATGAAAAAAATATAGATACATAATATGTTTTGTACCGATCAATATCTATATTAGACATAAATTCATTAGTTCGAAATTAAAGGGGTTTTTATACTTAAGGGAATAGTAGAATTTTTTAATAACTTCTATAAGATTCTATTATACGATTAGTTCCAAATAAAAAGGTTTTGGTTAACGCGAGTACTTAAAAAGAAGAATTATATTTATATAAAGTTTTAACTTTAGCTATAAAGATACGAAAAATTGGTATTGGAAAAATCCAGTGGAAATTAGTAAATACCCACTTCATGGCAGATGGCAATATATATATAGGAAAAATTTCAATAGATGCTTTATTATAATTTTTAAACAGTAATATATCAACGCGACGTGGCAGTCTCCACCTGACCACGACTGCTATAAAAGCAATAAGATTTTTTTATAATTCGTGCTTGCCTTTAGAAATTCGACCGTGTCCTCCATGTACGGTTTAAGCACTCGCCCGGTACCGCACAACCCTCCCAAAGGCCGAGAACAAATTTAAATTAAATTAAAACTTGCCCTCGAACCGGGAATCGAACCCGGTACCCCTCACCTAGCTGCCACTTAATAAGACCGCTAGGCTATGAGGCCCCTAAACCACAAGTTATGAAAACAATGTATTAAATTCGCGAATATTTACACAAACAAAATGCACCATCGTTTCGTCCTTTATTTAATATTCTAAGCCCCTTGATTTTTTCGGATTTCGTGAACAAAAGAAAAGCACGTTTTGAAAATGAAGACGAGAATTCTCATTAAAACCTAAGTATGCTTAGCTGGTACATTTCAATAGTACTCTGGTATGGAGATGAGACGGCCGCAATTGTAATAATTTCATTTTTTGATATCATGAACAAAAGAACCGCATACGAGATAGAATATGAATGTCGTTAATGACCTGCCTGAAATAACTTCGGCCTAAGCAAATATGAGGTGTGTCTGTTTATTCTTGGGTTCATTAGAAACAAACGATGACTACGAGCTTTGGACCGACATGTTTATACGAAAAAGCCTTAAAATGAAATTCTGATTTATGAATAGTTACGAACAAATGTTTGGTTGATGCTTAAAGTCCCGTAACATATAGGGTCACATTTATGTGTCTGTGTTATGTTTTTATAGTAACCCTTCAGTGGCGACAACCCGAAATAACTATTGTCATGTTAGAAATCGCACAACCTCTGGATTATACGCTCCCAAATTTTTTTCGCGGCTTGCGTTGCATTTTTACCTTTTTTGTAGTAAAATTTTAAAATGTATCGAATTTCTTCATTAGATTCACTTATCTTGACGGTACGAAAAATAAATAAAAATCACACATTATCCTAATATGAATTTGGAATTTTCTTCTTTAAAATCTCAACTTTCAATGATAACAAAAACAGGCAAATATATACAGTATAGCCAAAGAGATTTTATTACAAGTTCATACATAGTATAATGCGAAAAGACTTTTTCCCCAACCTAATATATAAAAGAGGAATATGATTTGGAAAAACACAGATTTTAAACATAATTCAACCCAATCAGGTCACGCAAAACCCGTATTTCTATAATAAACTGCTAACCAATATAATCCAAGTTTTTAAGAAAAAAATAGAATTCAGTTCAGCGATTTTTAATTTAGTTAATTAAAAATCGTATATTTAAAATAAATAACTTCGAAATAAACACGAGAATGGATCTTTAATCGCTAGACAGAAACACAGGGTCACTGACGTTGCGTGGGCGCTGCGCTTACTACGATTTACGATGTCTGTTAGATGTAGGCGTTTGTTTGTATTCTATAGCATATCAGTTGTAATTAAAACAGGTTGGAAAATAATTAGAAAATGAAACATTCTAGTTTTAAAAGCTTTTGAAATACCGTAAGGTTTTGTTAATAAAAACACGTATTAAAGTAAAGGACGAGTTATTTTAATTATATTATAAATCTTCAAGTTAGAAGAGGCGTGTGTTTCCATCGAACTGTTAAAGACGCTAGGCATTTTGTGAGGCGAAAAACGGGGCGTATATCTTAGAGGCTGGGCCAGTATGGGCTAACTGTTGCGCGCAGAACCTTTTAGATTATCTCGCCAGATAGCGAATTTATTTAAATAAGCACTTAGCAATTTGCTGGACTCGATTCCATTTGCGAACGTTGATTGCAATTTTAATGTCGAGATTATTTGCTACTACGTATTTTAGTTTTGCACCGACGTAATATGAAATTTATTTCACATTTTCAGATAGATACGCATATTATATACTACCTATAGATTTATTGAGCACGGAATTGGAAGATTAACAGCACTATTGCTAACACTGGAGCGAAGCCGCGCGGTGTGCACCGCGGCTCGCGCAAACTGACGTGACGCCCGGGGCTCTCCTGACTTGCCTCCCTCGACCTTCCCCGGCCACAGGGTAGAACAAGCAGTAATTCAAGTGCTTAATATCGTATTTCATTTATATTCAAAACACTACGTTTACGATATGAGGAAATGTTAATACATAGACGTATCTGTCATTGACTTTCCA